TCCCCCCCCCCCCCCAGCCTGAATTCAATAGGTGATAAACCAGGCACTTTTTCATCAATGCTGTGGTCAGAGAGGTTCTTGGGAAGGCTTTTGTTTGCTTTCCCATCTTTCCTCCAAAGCCCTGTGAGCTGGTTATTGCACAATCGTATCAGCAAAAATCAACCCCACCTGAAGGTGGCTGGTTGCAGTCCACAATAAAGACAAATAGCCACACGAGAAGTGAAGGAAACATTAAATTATATTTGTGGGAAACTGTGGTATAAACAGACGCACTAACACAGGCAACTATGAATCTGAAGTGGAGCTTCATCTAGGCTTTAATTTTGGGTTAGAGCGTCTGCCGGAGGAGAGTACGCTGGTTCATAAATTCAGCCCATTCCAGATGAATCACAGTAAGTCTTTTCAGCCAGAAGCACAGGCAGGAAGATGCTCAGCAGCACCCGCTTCTCACCGGTTCTGTCCTCTTTCTGGGTGGTTGCCTTCCTGGATGCCTGCTTCCAGGCTGGACATGAGCTCTGAGTTTCCCTTCCCTCTCTCCTCTTTGGGAAAAAATGAAGAACTAATCCTTTCTCTCCAGGTCAACAGCCTGCCTATTAATTTACCACAGCATCTTCAAAATTAATTCGTCTGTACACCATTTTCTAATATGAATTTCAGGCTGCTCAGAGACCTTGCACTCATCCCTTATTAGAGAAATGTAATTTTCATGGGTATAAGAGTTATCTTGTCCTACTGACGGGTGCTTCTGAGAGTAGAAATTAGCGCAGTGCTGACTGCAGAGAGAAATGAATGTACTCCATTCAAGCAGGAAGCTGTTTCCCCAGCAAGGAAAATATTTGATCTCTGAAAAGGCAAGTCTGGCTGTAAATTTTTTTATAACATGTCAGCAATGAACTTTCATCTTCCTAGTGGCTATGTAGGAGGAAGGACATAAATGGCAGAAATTTCAAGTAGAATTTTTTGGTACAGCCAAATTCATTTACCATCCAGTCTCAGACAAGAAAGGCGAGTACAAACACTGTTAATTTTGTCTTCTTGGCCTTCCTTCATGCTTCTGACCTGAAGACAGCAGATGGGAGGGTTACAAACTGCACAATATGCTTAGAAATGCCCTAGAAGTGCTCTGCCTGGACTCTAATACTATCACAGGAGGTACCAGCTGCTGAAGAACCCTTCTTGTCCTCACAGGTTCCCCCATCAGATCTGAGGAGGAGGACCAGCCTGGTCCAGTGCCCTTCATTAGACTAGGATCAGCTAAAGATTGAAATTAAAGGGTTTTTTCCATTAGGAAGAAATTTTAATATCTAATAGCTTCATTTTGAAAGCTTTTTTAACTCTTAGGAAGCTATTACGAATGTCTCAAATTTCTACGTTATCTAAAAATTCTACAACAGAGTAATTCAAAGACACTTGCTTTGCCCTTTCTTGATCTCCTTCCAGACCTTGACTATAGATTTCTTCTCGTTTTAAGTGTTTTTAGTAATGTGTGTCCCTTTAGGCTGTGAAAGAAAAGCAAGCCAAAAGTGCCAGTAGTTGGTAAAATTGCTCCAAAGAGGGAAACGTTCTTGATACTCAACTTGCTATTACACAGTGATTTATTCCTGACTCCCAAATGGTTCATCTTTCTATATAGAGAACAGGAACCACCTTCAGAGACTAAACTCATTTCTCTCTCTACCCAGCAGTTGAGGACACATCGTGGGGAGATGGGTGCCACAGATATCTCATCCTGGTCTTGCTACTTGTGCTGTGGTGGGGTTAGAAACTGGGGAAACATTAGGAAAGAAGGTTTTGCATGCTTCACAGACACATAAGAGTCATAGAGCCATGGAATACCTCAAGCTGGAAGGGACCCATAAGGATCATTGAGTCCAACTCCCTGCTCCTCACAGAACTACCGAAAACGAAACAATTTGACTAAGAGCATCGTCCAAATGCTCCTTGAACTCTGACAGAATTGGTGCCATGACCACTTCCATGGGGAGCCCCTTCCAGTGACCTACCACCCTGTCAGTGAAGAACCTTCTTCTAATGTCCAATCTGAACTTCCCCTGACATTTCCTTGTATCTTATCTCTGGTGACCAGAGACAGGAGATCAGCATCTCCCCCTCTGCTGCGCCCCTTGACGAAGTTGCAGACTGCAATGAGGTCACCCTTCAGCCTTCTCCAGGCTGAACAACCCGTGACCCCAGCTGCTCCTTGTGAGTCTTGTCCTTGAGGCGTTTCACCATGTTGGTTGCCTTCCTCTGGCCATACTGTCATAGTCCGATGTCCTTCTTACATTGAGGCGCCCAAAACTGCACACAGTGCTCAAGGTGGGGCTGCATTATTGCAATATAAAATGGGACAACCACCTCCCTCAACCAACTAGATATGCTGTGCTTGATGCACCCCAGGACACGGTTGGCTGCCAGGGCACACTGTTGACTCATTCAACTTGCCATCAACCCAGACCCCCAGATCTCTTTCCACAGGGCTGCTCTCCAGCCTTTCATTCCCCAGTTTTTTACATATAACCAGGACTATCCTGTCCCAGGTGGAGAATCCTGCACTTGCTCTTGTTAGATTTCATACGGTTTGTGATTTCCCAGCTCTCTAGTCTATCCAGACCTCTCTGTAAGGTCTCTCTACCCTTGAGGGAGTCCACAGCTCCTCCTAACTTAGTATCATCAGCAATCTTACTCAATGTACATTTGATTCCTGTGTGCAGGTCATTTATAAAAACATTAAAGAGCACTGAGCCCTGCGGAACCCCACTGGTGACTGGCCCCCAGCCTGACATAACCCCATTTACTGTAACTCTTTGAGATTGACCTGTCAGTCAATTGGTCATTTGGGAATGAAACTGAAATGGGAAAAAGAAAAATATCACCTAGAATAGTGTCTTTTATTACAAATAAATTTTGCTTGTAATTTCTTCTGAAATAGTTAAGCTCATTCATTAACATTAGTATTTGCTCTACAGAGACTTTGTGCACTTTTACAGCTTTTCACTACTTCTGCTGTTGATATAAATGACTATATTATAGATTGCAATAATGTAATTATTTTAAAATATTTCTTCCAGTAGAATAAATGCCATGACCATGGACCTCTTTTCTTTTTGCTTTTGTCTTCTGTCACACAGACGTGATTAGCCTTGCATCCAAGTTCCTTAATACTTCATAAATTATAAACAGCCATATATTGCATACAGAAACGAACTGGAGTCAGATCACGTACTGGTTGTGTAAAGATTTTTTTTTTTTTTTTAAAGAAAGAGATGCTCTTTGCTGGGCTTTGAATAAGGTTGTAGTGAATAAAAAAGAGCCCGTTGGGTCTACTCCTGTGCTGTGGAGAGTTACATTAGCCCCAGAGAAAGAAGTGCTCTGGATGGGATAGCACAGTTCTGCCTGGCCAACTGAGGCTCTCGCGAAGCCACCTGAGAATAGAGGGACTGCCCTAAGCCCCAGTGGGGCCTAAGGGCTCACTCTTCCCACTCAGCTCGTGCAGCCAATTTAATGAACTGAGACTGTGCAGCCTGATGGCCAGACCCCACGGCACCCAGGCTGGAGAGCAGGGACAGATGGTGACAGCGGCAGGTCCCATCAGCAGCCCAGGGATCACTGGGCAAACACATGGAACGAAGCCAGGTCAGCGAGGGCTGCCATTGCCCCAGGGCCCTGACACGGGGTGAAGGAGGGGACGTATTACAGACTAATGAAAACAGCCTGGGTGGTTTTATTTTTTTCCCCTCTGGAAGTAGCAGTTTTCTCTAGAACCAAATTGCTTTCTAAATTAAATGGTTCTAAACCTGTTATTTTCTGAATAGCAATATTGAAATGAGTGAAAACCTGGTACAGAAGGTTTTGCTGCTGACTTCAGTGAAGTTAAATCTTTCTTTCTGAAGAAAACATCAATTCAACTCCTTACAGGATTCAACAGATAAAAGCATGCACATGCAAGCATACTTTTTATCCTCAAAAATATGTAAAAATCAAAATATCAAGCCAGTGTTTTACATTAGAGGTATTATCTGAGTCACCAATGAAATACTCTAAGGCAAAATAACACAATATTAATGCAATAGATTATAAATATAAATTATATTCTGTGGATGGAGCAGAAGCCATAAACTGCTCTAGAGAAATGATAAGAGAGATACCTGGTCATCTGAGCACAGCAGTTAAGAAAGATCACTATGCATACCTAATATCTTAATGGCATTATTGGGATAATTTTTTAAAAGGTACAATGCGCTCCGGTACATGTCTGTTACTCACCAAACTCCATCAAAAAAAGTTTAATTACATAAAAGAAATCAGTTTATTTTAAGAAGTTATATATACAATATTTTTTTTTTACAGACACTTAAAGTGAAAAAATAATTTTATGGACAAAAAATAGTTTCTCTTGCATCAATTTTAAGAAGCAAGAGAGTAAAAATAATAATCACAGAACTAATATGAACAAAGCCAAACAGGTTCAGATGCAAATAGTTCAAACAGTTCAGATGCAGTAGACTTGGAGAAAGAAACACAACTCCAAACCAGCTCTTGCTCAGCTTGGGTTCTAGTGCCACCTGCTGAAATAACAGTATTTTTCCTCTTGTAAGCACAGCCAATATGCAATTTAAATTAATCCACTGCATCAGAGGGCAATACATGAAGAAAGGTCACAAAGAAGATGCGGTGCTTGAATAATCTAAGTGCACGTCCAGAGTGCCATACACTGAACCTAGTAAATTGAGAACCTTTTCTTGAATGATGTCAACCTGCTCTGAAGGGCAATAGTCATCCAAACTTGATCTGTAACAAGGAATTGAAAAAAGCATAAGAGAGTACAAATACCGCCACCATCACCACATTTTGTATTCTTGTAATGCTCAGTGTCTAGGCTGAAGCTACTTTCAAACTGTGATGAGTTCTGCCTCCCCGTATCTCTTCAAAGCATAGCACTGGGCTTCTCCTTGCTACTTTCAATGGTAGCAGTTGGCCTGAGGTTGAGTAAAAAGTCTGAAGCAGATTAGGAATGTGACCTATTCATCCTTCCAATTTTACTCTCTTCCTGACTCTGAAACAAAACATGTTGGCAGTCAAAGTTCAAGCAAAAGGACCGGTGGAAAGTTAAGATTGAAAAATAAAAGTGCTACTGCTAAAATAGGTAGGAAAACTTGAAAAAGAAATCTCACAACAATATAACATTATTTACAGTATCTATTAATGAACGGCAAACAGATACTAGTAAAAAAGCAGAGCTAACACTTGGATTTTACATCTGCCAAGATCTACAAAAGTGATTCTGTATTTTCTCTGCAACAGTGGATAATAACTCTGCAGCTGGCACAGGAAATACAGCTTTTATTTTATGTATTAGCCATACTCTTTCTTGTTGATAAAAACAATTTCATGTCAGCTTCTGCTGTTATTGCCTGCCCTTTCAGGGCACACTTAGTATTGTTGAAGGGATTAAATTACAAGAATTTGTCAACAGATACACTGTGGTCTCCAAGACAGATTCCTGGTTCTCCCAGGTCCCTGGCCTCAAACTCCATCCTGTTCTCCCAAATAAGACCCTTGCAGTCCCGGAAGCATAACTTTTATCCCATACAAAGCTTTCCTAGAGCTTTCTAGAATATAAATCCCTTTCAGCCTATTAGATGAAAACCACTTCCATCAGAAGTTCCACTGAAAACAGAAATCCTATCTGTGGTACAACGAGCCCTGGAACAAGAAAGTAAGGCAGGTTTCTCCAAGCTAGCTTTGCTGTAATCAGCACAAGTAATAATAGTAGTGGAGGTGTATGAAACCCAGTGACAGCTATCAATCTCACACACAGAAGGCCTCATCACAGGCTTTATATAGCCTGTGCTGAAGCTCATTAAGCCATCACGTTTGCACTGCTTTTGCAATCTGTGCTAGCTACCCTAACGCCCAGTGAAACCGGCCATCAGCACAAAACCTTCCCTCAGCTGTGCAGACACCATCACTGCCTTACGAGCAACATTTGCAAATGTCAATTTTCACTACACTGTACGGCTTCCACTTTAAGACAGAACCTAAGATATGACAAGCAGTGCTATATTGATAGGATCATATAGCTTTGTCAGCACAGTCTTACCGAGCAACTGTCACAAGCGTGGGCTTCGGCATATCTTTTAGTAGCACTTTAATGGATTGTATGAGGCCTTCGATCTCCTCTTCAGTGCTAACGTGGTGGGGAAGCTCCATATAGTCACAGGTCAGACCTGCCTGATGCACCTACATGTAAATTAAACAGAGATTTAAGTTCTGTCGATGAATTATTGATAAAGCTTATCTGTGTGAAAAGTCTCTAAGATCCTATCTCTAGCCCAGTAGGTAACTTACACCTCTTCAGGCAGTAAGAGCTGGTTTTCCCCAAGTTGTTCTTTAAGCAAAAAGAAGTTGTTTGGATTGTTTCATCATCTCCGGTGCACTGTACCCCTCTTACAAATTTAGAGTACGCTACAGCCCTTGAAGATGATAGGTCTGCTATTTTACCAATAGGTACCTTAAGTTTAAGTTCTATAAAGTGTATCAACAGACCCTGGTGAAATGAAACCTTCCTTCACAGGAAGTAGCCTGAGATGTCACAGTTCTGAAAGATCACATTAATGTCGCCTAAATACAGATGAGTAGAATTTTAGAAGCTTTAAAAAGAAAAGCTGGCCTGAGCAATAAGACACACACACAAAAAAGGGAAAATTACCAAAATCTCACAAAGTCTTGAATCAAGAAGCAAGTCTGAAATGAAGCATGATCTCTTCCCTCCCTGTTGAAGCTATGCTTTTGAAATCTATATACTTTATGCTCTTTTACTTAGTCACCTACCATTTCATAGTCTGGGCTTTCCATCCTGGTTTTCAAACTGTGAACTAGTTGAACAAGTGGCTTCATTCTGGAGTTAAAACAAACCCAAAACTTGTTACAGAAACAATTTGAAACATATATTTACCTTAAGTGGCAAAAAACCAACCAACCAACCAACCAACCGAACCAAAAAAAAAAAACAACCGAAAAAACCCCAGGCAATAGAGAAAGTCAGAAGAAGAAAGTAGAAGTTATCATGGACTAAGATCTGAAAATGAAATTTGCCCCTCAAAACCACAGCACGCCTGTGTGGCATCTTGCACCTCAGAAAAATGGAAATTATCAGTACCATCATACTCTTTCACCAGGTCTTTCTTAGCAAGCCCCTATACTTACACCTTCCTCTGACAAGACCTCTTTGCACTCCTTTTAGGTCACACCTGGAGAAGAGCTGTTGTAGCTCAAAGTTGTATGAACTTAATAAGAAATGCTTGTGATCACTGTTACAGAGGTCTGGCAGTAATGGCTGCATCTGATGAGGAAAATGAGTGCTTTTCCTATCAAGGGAAAGCTGAGACTTTTGCTGTTTGTTTTCAGCTAAAAAATTTAGTTTAAAAGCATAGAGAGACGTTTTGCAGACACTCTTGCTCAGATAGAGCCTTTCATTCACTTCCATTTTTCCCACAGAAAGCAGAGCCTTTGGGACCATCATAAAAGTCCTTCTGCACATCCTCTGTAGTTTGTTGCTTTTTTGAGAGCTCTGCTACACAAAGATCACTACATTTTTAGTTATCAAATCTGCCTTCCTCCACAGGCAACACAATTTGCATGAAGGTGTACAAGGCTGATCTTGGAAGGCTTATTATGCCACTGAAGGCAGCAGACTGCATTTTGTTTTGTCTGACTCCTCCTCTAGGACTAAAGGAAAAATGGTAGCCTTGCACAGATCCTACCCAGCTTCTCTCCTTTTCTGTTAGCATAGTGCTGGGATAATCAGTTCCCAAACGACTGTTTGCACTTTGAACCATTTAGAAATCTCCTACCCAGGATACGCAGCCCACTTCTGCAGGGTCTCTTCGTCATCATTGTCACACAAATCTGCAAATGCTGCTTCCAGATCTTCTAGCTGATGAACACGGTTTTCAACACAATCCAGCAAGCCCTCCTTTAAATAAACAGATGCAAAAATATGTTAGGAAAAAAAGAGGTAACAATGTCATGGTTTACCCTGTGATTTAAATTCTGAAATGACTGATCTACTGGAATTTGAATCAGAAACAACTCATTCATTAGTACAGAACATCTTTTCAAGAGGGTCAGAATAGATGCCTGCAGAAGCGGTTATACTTTCAGATAAGTCACCTCTCTTTACTCTGTCTTTCCTAAAACAAATGAAAAAAGCCACATGCACATGCTGGTAGAATCCATCTGTGACAGCAAAGAAACTGTGTGTGACTAACTGTTGGATTATCTTCTATAGCAGTGAAACACTCAGATGAGTACAAGCTTTACATTTTTATAACAAAAAGATAACTTAATTTTGTAAGTTTTTTTAAAAGGGAGTATTATTAAGTCAAATGCATTTTCAGAAAACCAGAACAAAATGGGTTGTTTGATGCTTTGAGACTGTGTCAACTCAGTGTGTGTGAAAAAAAACATGGAATTAATTTAAAATGTCAGTTATCGCTCTGATCCCGTAAAGTTTTATGTCCTTCCTTAAAAAGTTCAGAACACCTAAGAGGCAATCCTCTTGGAGTGATGCTACATGCATGAATACAGTTGTGCATGCACACAATGGCAGAAAGAGATCCTACATAACATGTGAAATGAAAAGCAAGGCTTGGCATAGTTGGTATTGAAAATGCTCAGTGTAGTGGCGCATGAAGGGAAATTATGAAAAGGCACATTGGAATAGATGAATAACAATTAAAAGCATAACAATTCCCTTGGGATTCTGCTGGCTGTATCATATAACAGATGCTGCTTCTTTTGGCCAATTATGTCAGCTTTGGGCTAATTTTTAAGAGGAGCTGAGGGTATCAACCATTCATAAAGTACAACCTTACGATCCTGAGGTACGAATAAGATACTTTTCCAAGCAGCACCAGGAACTAACCTTAAAGACCCCTCTATACTACTTCAAAAACAAAACCAACCAAAAAAACCCCAAGGAACACACTGTTATCTTGTAGCATGATAGAAATGTGCATCAAATGTACTCTGGAACTAGGAAAACAGATTTTAAAAGACTAGACATGGAGGATATTTTCTGACTTTGAAAAACACAAGGTTTACTAGTTCACTACCTTCAAATCCTTTAAATTGACCATCTCACTATAAACCCATCCATGAATCTGATCTTGCCTTGCTCAGTTCTATGCTTATCCATTACTCCTATAAACTTGCTGGCATTTGTAAATAACTTATGCTCTGAAACTTATTTGGAACTTAAATCAGAAATGTTTACCCCTTTCACATTTAGCTACCTTTTAAATAGGTAACTGTTTTTATTGCTGATTGACTATGAAACATGAAAATCAGTTTGACAATGTTCCACATATCTCCATTTCTGTATACACACATATTAATTAGGATTCATTAATGTGTGATAATTGTATGTGTTGAATCTCTCTGCACTAGTGTTCAGATGAGATTACAAAAGCAAAGGTAAGATCTTGGTTAGAAATTACTTGGTACAATGACCATTAACATGGGCATCTCCATGGTTTGGGCTCAGGGCTGAATGACTATTTTGGCAGCTTACACTTCCATAACTCAGAAGCACACAATGCATATAACAAAAAGTAGATTACAGTGGTATAATACTGGCCTTTCCACATCTAAATAAATAGGTGAAATACCAGTTAGGCATTGAGCTATAGCAAAGAAGAGGGGAGCCTGGAGGGAATGAAAAAAAAACCAAACGCAACCCTCCAAAAAAAGCCTGAGCAAAAAAAAAAAACCCAAACCAAAGCCCTGTTGAGTCATAAAAAGAACAAGATTGCAGATTACTTACTATGTTTTAATTTCTTCCTTGTCAATTACCACTTGCTTACAGAAATTAATTTTCACACTCATGCTAAATATTTATGCAGTTCACACATTTAACCAAAACATTTAATAGGAAAGAACTCTTAAGATGCTGCTGATTAGCATTCAGCACGCCGCATAGCTTAATTGGAGACCACTTCACTAAGCACCTTTCATAGGTTCCTTCCTTGTTGTAACTCATTTTTATTGGGTAAATCAAAAGATCCATTCCCTCATGCATCCCACAAGGAAGCACCATACCTCTGTTGCATTTCTATGAGGCTTCTTGAAATTGTACAACTCTTGCAAAAGCTCATACTCTGTCTTTGAAAGAGAGAGGAAAAAAATTAGGCTCTTTGAATGAGACACAAAATCCTCAAAGCCCCCCTCCTTCAAAAAAAGAATCTGGTCACTCAGATCACTCCTCTACTCTCGTACTGCAGACAGCTTTCTATAAATGCAGGCGAGGAGGAGACTGTGAAGCTTCAGGAACTAATACTTCACTGCCTCAGCCAAACATTTCGCAATTGCTTAACTTTAAACATGACTTCAAAAACACAGCTTTAAAAGCTAAATATATACAGTCTGTTAGCTAAAAGAGTCTCTGAAATTAAATATACATTTTGCTGAACTATGGTCCTAATGAGATGCTGAGTAAAACTGAGATAGTAGATTTAGGCAGACAACACCAACAGGAGAGTATGATTGTAAATGAAAACCAGACAGGTAAAGGCTTCAGGCTGGTTAGCCAAATTCACAAGTAAACTGTTACAGGGGCTTGTCAGCCCTACTCCTTGATAATATTCATATTTTCATTTCATCTTGTCCTTGTACTGTTGCATTTCAAGTCTTAACTTGTGAAAATTTTTGGATGGAATTATCTTAATTTACATTAGAGGGAACCTAGTTAAGAAATACTAACTGCAAATGAAACCGTTATATTAAAAAAAACCTACACTGGATGCTCTGCATAAGCCCACTTCTGAAAGCTGTTCCTGGAACTGAGGACCTATCATAGCACAAAGCAAAAAAAAAAGCACAAAAAATCCACCAAAAGAAGAAAACCTACACCACCAACCCCCCAGAAAAAACAACCGAACAAAAAAACCCACCCCAAACTCCTCCATTATTTTACTCGGGATGTATTTTACCTAAGAGAGGTATTAAATTTTATTCTTATATGGCAAGACCCCCACGGTGCTCCCTCTTTGTTGTACACGTCTCTGTGATTCAGAACAAGTGACATTGCACCCTGTCTGAAGATACTGTCATCCTAAATACTGCACATCAGAAGCTAACAGAGGTCAGGGACACCATATTCACTTCCTTACGGTGAACAAGGAAGCAGCAGTCTAGCTGAAACTCAAAGATGTCAGATGTTCTCCAGCACAGGCTGAACTTAAAACAGTGTTAAAGAGAGATTTAAATGCTAAAAGCAGTCAGGATACTGCAGAAGAATTTGTAAACCTAAATGCCGCACCCTATTTTCAGGGCAGATTAGTTAGTTTCTAGAAATCCTCTCTAAGTAAGGAAAAGCTGCTAACTACTTTGCAGCTTTGAGGATCTACATATTTATGACTTTACACAGATGAGCCACCTCTGCTGTGCAAACAAATTATAAGTGGAATCAAGAAGGCAGAGTCAAGCTCAGAGCCATGGCATCAGAGACAACAGCTGCTGGCTCACCCTTTGAGCTGAAACCAGGACAGAATGGTACGAGGCCTCTCCGCTGTCATGCTTACCTGTGTGTACATTTCTTTGAACGGATTTTTAACTGAAAAAAAATCTAAGTCAATGTCTAAAACATATGCATCCCCTTTCTGAAGTACTTGGCAGACATCTTTAACAACTTCCCTTATCGGGCATTCACTGAGAGAGCTTGAAGCTGAGCACTCTGTCAATGTTTCTGCCTTGTTCGGAGCACTTGCATTTTGTACTCCCTTTTTCTTCAGACTTGGGGTGCTGTGCTCAAGGTCACCAGGAGCCACTGATGAAGAGGCAGAAGTGGTGCTTGCTGTATCATCTGTATGTAGCTTCAGTCTCTTAGCAGATGTTACTTCGCCGTTTTCTTCCTGGCTGTTTGACGCTTCAGTAGGATTGATGAGGATGACGTGTAAATTTAAAGGCTTCTGGTTTTCTAGCTGATCAGCGGGGACATAAAGACCATCACTTAAAAAGTAATGATCTGTACCTGTAACCCTGCAATTGAGAATAAATCACAGTTAATATACATCTTTGCAAAGAGCTTAGGAGAATGCATGTACACTTAAGGGATTCCAAGACAAATGATTAGATGATTGATGGGTAACAAAAGCAATAAAACTGTGTACACAAAATTATTCATTTTAATCTGCAGGTTTTAAAGTGGACTTTTTTAGACTTTTTCATTGCTGAATCAATATATTAAAAATCACTCTATATTTTTTATAATAGCCCTATGAGGTTTTTAATGCATAAGAAAAAGATTCTACATTATGTGCTACTAAGATTAATTTGTCATTGAATTGCATTTTAAAGACAACACTCAGAATTTAACAAGATATTGTCAATATCATGGCACATAAGACTGCAAAGCTACGGATATTTTGTCTTGGATTGCCTATTTTTTAAGGAAAATTCTGTCAGCTGTGTTTGAGAATTTCCCCAAACCCCATGGATATTGATTTAGTAAAAGTAAAATATTATGAGTTAATAGGGTAGCATTTAACTTTACCACCAATTCCCTGTTCTAAGTGAGGCAAAGCAGGTAGCTCGAGGACGAACAGCTATGTATCAGCTTAATTCACCTAATTAAAACCAACCAACCAACCAAAAAATAATGCCGAAAACTCCGCTTACAGTGAAAATTTAAAGTATATTATTTTCAGGCCATATTTCAGTACATTAAACCTTAAGCATCATAAATTCAGATTAAAAAACAAGCTTAAGAAGAAGTGTGAACTTCCACTCACTTGTGTTAAGGTCTCATTGGATTACAGGGTATCATCATCAACCAACCACAAAGACAAATAATTTAATGAGCAGCAGAAATTTGAAGCTTAGTTCCCCCCCATCTTTTGGCTGGATTATCCTAAGCCTGCTAAAGTGAGTGCTTGGATCACACCCTCATCTTGTTGATGGGGCATTCACAGGGAATATTCTCAGAAATTCTCCAGGATTCAACATGAGCTCATGCTACAGCATTTTCCTTAGTGGGACAGTTAATGAGGTACCTCTTGCCTATCCAGCCAGCTGTTGGCAACAAAACTTCTAGGAAGTTCATATTTCTAAGGAGTCTTTCCCTTTCTTCATTATTTTTGTAAGCGTACAACCTGAGGAAAAGACACACGACCATCTTCAAAAGGCAGCTTGAAATGTTGTTCAAGCTAAAGCAACCAAAGGATCTGTTGGAGAGCTATTCCGCCATCACGAAGTATTTCTATATGTTTGTTAGTTCTCACAGTTAACTGTAACTGAAATGACTAGCTTTTGTCTTATTTAGGTTTACTTTAGGCCTCAGATTCAGAATTGTAGAGTTTCTGTGTTCTTAGGTGGTAAAACAAAGCTCTGCTGTCTTCTGTTATACTTGCTTCAAAGGATTTATTCTGATATGCTGGGAAGAGACATGATTTGTAAATCTCCATTCAAGCTGTATAAAATCACAATGCAGTGAATACGGTGTATGCAAAATTGTCATTGGCTGCATCCTACAGAATTATGAGAAGCTGTCACAGGAACTTGAATCACAGAATGATTAAGATTGGAAGGGACATCTAGAAATCTCTTGTCAAACATTTGATTGAAGGAGAACTAACTTGAAGGGTAGATGGGGCTGCCGAGGGCTCATCCAGTTGAGTTCTAGCTTTATCAATTATCAGGGCAAGGGAAGAGATTTCTCCTCTTATTCAGCACCAGTGAGGTCACATTTGACACATTCTGCCCAAGTCTGGGCGTCCAGAACAAGAGAGATGACAACAAAGTGGACAAGGGCCACTAAGGTGCTCAGAGGGCTGGAGCACGTGAAGGGGAAGCTGAGGGAACCGCGTTTGTTTCGTCCTGATAAGGGAGGACCGAGGAGGATCTAATTGCTGTCCTCTATTACCCAAATCCTCTGTTAAAAATTACTGCTTTCTGAGATTTTGACTGCAATGAAGAGAACTTATTTAAAACTTGGATAGCTGAAATGAAATGTGAATAGCTAAATTCTTTTTTAAATAAGTAATTCTAAGGCACAATTTTAACTGTACCCACTGACACAAACAATCGCATTAGGTCCTAAGGAACTCAAAAATACAAATTAAATTTTCATCTTTATCCAAGAATACAAAAAAAACCCCACCCATGGAAAGGTATAAGGATCACCTTTATATTATTAGCATATGACAGCAGAAAATTTACCTAATTGTAGTTGTTGATATGTCTTTTCCAATTAAAAAATCATGTTTTCCTTCGGAGATCTGTTGAGCCCAGGGTGGGTGAAGCCATACAACTTGAGAAATATGACCAGCATAAACAGCAGGCATAATCCAGTTCTCAATACTTAATTCACTGTAAAAAATTGAGAAAGACTTGAGATAATACTGTTATTTTCCCTGTAAAATGGCCAAGAACACAACAAGTACCTCCTACATCTTGAAAACACCCACGCAAATCATCTGAAATTAGTCATCTGTGTAAGGTTTACATCATCAAAGAAACTAAAAGAGAGAAAACTTTATTCCTAAAACAGACCAGACTAAAGCTGTCTTCATTGGAATTTCAAAAAGTTAAGATTACAGAGTGCCATCAGCTTCACTCTCAGTATGGCACTTTTGATTATAAACTTTGTCGATGTGTTGTCCTTTTTCTCTTGATAGATCACACAGAAAAAAGAACAAGGAGCATTATCAATACTGCTCTAAATAATTTCAAACAGATCTCAAGGGAATGTTTTACAGTACACTGCTCTAAGTAGATTTTAAATATAATCTCAGTAATTAAGGTGAGTCGATTAGCACCTACAGAATAGCAACCTTCCTGATTATCAACATCCAATTTTTTCGTATGACATAGCCCACAAAACTTCTTATTCATTCAACATAGAAAATAAAATACTGACTGTGAGCAGCATGATACAATTACTTACATACCAACTACATCATCTTGTCGTAGCTGTAAATCGCTATAACACTGAAGCAATCAGTAACAAGGGAAAAGAAAGACAATAGCAAAGATCTCTCTGTGGCTTGTTACCTACCTAAGATGTTGGGGGAAAACATTGGTCTTAATGATCTTAACAGCAAAATCTTGTTCAACTTCACATATTCACCACGTCAACATACGAGATGTTACTTCAATCTCAAAGTCAATTTTTTGGTATGAAGAGAGAAAGGGTGTTTTAAAACCACAGCTCTTCAGACATACAGCATCCACTCAGCGTGCTGTCCTGCTACTCAGAAAAGCTACTAACTGGCCTAATAACAAAAGATACTATTGAAAACTAAATAAAGTAAATTTCTAAGTCTTAAATAACTTGACATGCAATTTAAATATTTGCCCATATTCAAAAAACACAAACATAAGTTTTTTCATCAAAAAAAAAAGTTTTCAGCAAAAGTAAAAAAACAGAATATACAATTTGAGGCTGACTTACATCTCTTTTGTTTATATGTCCTATGCAGTGATACCAATATTCACCATAAATCAAAGTCAGCAGGAACTAGACATAAAGGATTCCGATGTAGTACCCAGGACTTACCTAAAAAGAGCTTCTTTGTCAAAAACAGTGTCTGCAGGCATATTCACAGGGATAAGAAGGTCTGGATGGGAATCAAGATGAACAAAGCTGATGTTACTGGCAGGAAGATGCTTTGAACCAATGGCACGATAGATGAAAGGCAGCACCTAAAACAACACGAATAAAAATATTTCCATTTTAACCAGTAAGCTGAAAAATGCAATGGCTTTAACAGCAAAAACACTAAAGCTTCCTCACCATGTATGGGTGCCGTGGAGATAAAAACATCCCATTACTTGTGTTTTAATAGTTAACTGACAGAGAGTGAAAACTGGCCCACCATCATTTAAACTGTAGCTGATCTTTTAACCTATTCCCCTTGAAAAAAGGGCTTAATTCCTAATCCCTACATGATTTAGTTGCTGCAATAAAGAGACTACCTTTCTTAACTACCTTATTCCCTGCTGAAGGTCTTCCCTCAAAGGTGGAAAAAACAGGACATGAGGCAACGGATCAATTTATAGTGTAGTAAAACCACTGAAGTGCAATAATATAGGGTGGTAAAATAAGAAAACTGATGGCTGATTGATGATACCTCTTACACTGAACTGCAGTACATGGAGTCCCTCCCATAGTTATGGGACAGTAACTGCTTTAGGTACCAGCAAATCCAGCAAAGACTGAGAATCACAGCTCTATTACACAGGGAACATGAAGACTGTAAAAGGACAGGGCAACAAAAACTACACGCCAGATTACAACAGAAACAAAATAATTTTTTGGCATAAAGCTAATTAAGATAACGAATCCTGTGTACTGCATGGGCATAACTGTAAAACACAATTGACAGCTGAAATTTGGACTGTATTCCATCAGTCTAGTAATAAATTCCTCAGTTTACCCACCACATATGCAGTTGTATGTATATTACTGCAACAGCTGATAGAACAAGGTTAAAAACAACAAGAGTTCCATGATCCACAACTTTTACTTCTTTGGCAAAAGGAAATAATCTGGCCTACCTAACAACCTACAATCTTTGCAATTAAAGTTTCACTTCAGGTAAGTGTTACTACAAATTGTGAGACTAGGAGAGGGTGGAAGACGACATAAGCAACAAGGATCTCTAACTTTGTAAATTCTCCTGCTTTGGAATTAAGAACAGAATTTCCTTTACGCTAGCTGTCATTATTAATCAAAGTATGATGCAGCTACCGATACTTGCCCTAGAGGAACATCAGTGCCAGCAAAGGACCATATAAGTTTCTGTGAAGTTCTTACACTTTAGGATGGAAGGCCATATATGCTTTATGCAAGACAGACCAACGCATATACACATATATACTGAAAACACAGCATATATGTTTACTATGAATAGACCTTGTTAATTGAGAACAGAAGTATAGAGACTGAAACAGAAAAACAAAGACAAATCATTACTAGTCATTATCTCAGTACTCCTGTCACAGTGATTCTCTTAGTCCTTGGTTGCCACAGAAAGCCAACTATCACAGCATAACATGAGTCTTAGCAAAAATGACCCGCTACACTATTTATTTAGAAGTTCAGAACATTATTTTCTTTGATAAACTTTATTACACTAAAATTTTGTTTGCAAGACGTTGACAGTATTAATATTTTTCACTTTTACATCTACAAGGACCCAGCAATCCCCAGTGAAATCAGCAGGCCTCAGCACCACTGGGTGAAGAACCTGCTTACTTCAGACTGAGGCCTCAGCTTACACTACTACAGATAAACCATATGGAAAGTTCAAAAGCAACTCTCTCTTCACCCCCTTGCTTAATCAGTTGAGTAAAAAAAAGTCAATTTCCAAATTTAACAGTTCATATCAAGTGGCAGCCACTCTGTGTGTTAGGATGCAATTATATTTACTAATTTGCTGTTGACATGTCATACACTGTGTATGGGTTGAGTCTCCAAGCACGGCGCTGACACCTAGCTAATTCTAAGAGCAGCGTAATGTAGATGTTAATTGCCTTTGAACTAGAGCAACTCCGACTCAAAGAAGGAATAAAAAAAACTAAACCACAAGAAAAATAAAGAAAGAAAAGGAAAGGAGGGAAGAGAAAGGGGAAGGAAAGGGGAAGGAAAGGGGAAGGAAAGGGGAAGGAAAGGGGAAGGAAAGGGGAAGGAAAGGGGAAGGAAAGGGGAAGGAGAGAAGGGGAAGGAAAGGTGCAACAATTGGTTGAAAAGAGGCCAGAATCTGACCATAGCCCTATTTAACTTGAATCGCTGAATCTGGGAGGAAAGTGAGGTCACCTGATCCCTGAGCTTCATTTCTGTTTCCGCAGTGAAGGGGCAGGGCAGGCAGGTGTGGGGTTTGTGTGTGGCCATGGGGACGGGGAGCGGGGACACCCCGGCTGCAGGGCGGGAAGGGGCATCCACCGGGGACATCCCTTCGCTTCCACCTCCCAGACTCAGCCTCCACACCGCGGAGAAAGAAAGAAACTAACAACCAACCACACAGTAGCAGGTGAAGCTACTCCCCATGCACGGCTAAGGGGACTCCCCATTCCACCACCCGGCCCGGCCCGGCCCCGCCGCCCAGCGCCGGGCACTCACGTCCTGGTGATCCTCCACCACCCACACCGGCAGCGCCGGGTAGGTCCGCAGGCAGCTCCCGCGGGGCCGCTCCCCGCTGCCGGTCCCCGGCCCGCTCATGCCGCGGCAGCCGGGCAGGGTGAAGCTCGGCCCGGCCGCCTCTCTTCCTTCCCGGCGGGCGGTGCTTCCGCCCGCAGCGCCCTCCCACCATTTTCCTCTTCCGGAGCCGGCGCGCTGCGGGCCGGGGCGCCAGGTGGGCTCAGCGGGCCTGGCTGCGGGGGGGGTTCGCTAGGGTCTCCCCGCTCTGCTCACGGTGCCGTGGGGTCCCGCGGCGCGGAGGGGGTCTGGGGCCGCGGCGGGGGCGAGTCACCGGGCGGCGGCGGTGCTGGCGGGGGTCGGGGTGGCGGGTTTCAGGCGGCTCCTGCCGGTAGCGCCTTCTGCCGGTAGCGCCTTCCGCGGCAGCCGCCGGCCGGCCCGCGGCGGGGGAGGCCGCGCCGTGTGGGGAGCGGCGGGAAGGCAGAGCCGGCCCGGCCGGGGGTCGGTCTCGTCGCCGGGTTTACCTCCGGCCACCCCGGCTCGGCAGCCGTTCCGGAGCGTCGGGAGGCGGCGGTTGGACGTGGCCTGGTGTCGGTGCCCCGTTCCTCTCAGCTGCGCGGCTGCGGCGGGAGCAGAAGGAGGGCTTGTGTCGGTGTTTTCTGAGGGCTCTGGTGTTACTTCTCTTTGTGGGGGCTTTTCGCCAGCACAACAAACTTCTGCTAGGTGACAGGAAAATGAGAGTTGGCCCTTTACAGTATTTTAAATTTAAATCAAAATTGAGCGTGAGCAAAGTTTGCAGCAGAGGGAGCTTTAAAATATTGTTGGCGTTTGAGATCATTTAATGTATCTCTTGGTGAGGTTTTTTTTTTTTTTGCAGCTGTGATGCTGTACATTCTGGAGCAGTGATGTGAAGGTGGTGGAACTAGAGCAGTTCTCTGGTGCTGGGGAATGGCTCTATTTCGAGAGAACTGATAAACAAGACCTTTTATTTGAATCCTGTGACACATTAAAAAAAAAAAAAATGTTTTAAGTTAAAAAAAAAAAAAAGTGTTTTAAGCGAGGCACTGTGATACAGTGGTCTCTGCTTTCATTTCTTTAGGGTAATAGGATTCTACCTCAGGCTGTTGAAATGAAATGTGTATCTAAATATCAGCAAAAAGTACAAAACAGTTTTTGGTTACAAGCCTGAGCTGGGTAGGATCGTGGCTGGAGAACTGAAGCAAAATCAATTCAGCATCTAATGGATTAGAATTAATAATGGCAAAAGGTTGCACTATTGCCAGACAAAATAATGGAAATTGACTTAATGGACTTTTTTTTTTTTCCTTTCCACCTCGTCGTTTCTTTTTTTGAGCCTTCACAAGGTTGGAGGGTACTGAGCAGTTACAGGCTGACTGGAAGGAGCAAGTGGCTTTAGCATCATGGCTGCTACCTCCTAGAAATGTGGGAATCTCACTTACTTTGGCCTTTGTCTGGTTTCTTGGGAGGGGGAATGAATGCTACTGCCACCAATTCCAATGGCTTCCACTAAGCCCTGCATGTGTAAGGAGAGACCTAGGGTCTTCTTGGTTCTTCCTCCCTGATGTCCGTCCTTTACCTCTTCATTTCTTTTCCTTTTTTTCCTCTGATTCACCAGAAATTGTCTGCCGTCTCTCAGCAATCTTCATCTTTTGGAGCACTGGCACCAGAACGAGTGTGGTGCTCTGAGCAGCTCAGGTTGGCCATGTTGTGTGGTAGCAGGTGGAAGAATATTCTGTGCAGGTACTTTGGCGTCAGCAAAGCCTCAGTAAAAGGGAGGCTTTGTTTTCTTTATCTGGTGATCTTTCCAATTTGTGTCTCTCTCCTTTCTTTCTCTCCCTCCCCCTTAGAGAAAACAGGATTTGAATTCTTCAACTGCTTATTTTTTTTCACTCCCTCTATTCCAGCCAACACACCATGAATGATTTTTATATTTTATTTTAAAAGTTTTTTTTTCCTTTTCTTCCCCAGTTTTTGAAATTTAACACTGTAATTAAAGAATTTTAACTTTAATGAAGCATAGTGGTTTTCATTTATAAATGTTAATACAATTAATTAATACACACATAGTTTTGAGCAAGACTTAAGGCTACTTGCAGCAGTGGCAATACCTGGAAAGGTAACAAGGCCAGGCAGGCAGCTGAGGGATTTTTTTGGAAACCATTTATTTCAATGAAATTGAAGTAACAGCACAGTCTACATAATATTTTTTTCTGTAACCTCTAAGATTCTCATTCCGGAAAAGTATGCATACCTAACTTAAAATACTTTGAAATATCTACTGAGTTTAGTCCTTTTCTAAATCGTAATCTCAATTATGAATGTAAATTGCTACTATCTTATTTAAAATTTACGTGATTTGTTAGACCAGGTAACTGGCCATAAGGCGTTAGTAAAGTCATTCTGCCTGAAGTTTAGAATCATGTTCTAGAAAGGGCTCCTTGGATGACAGTAGCAGTTGTTAAATTAGTGGTTTCTTTGGTGCAAGGAGGGGTATCTGAAGCCTTTTATATCACAGTGAGTACTAGTACTAGTGAGTAGCAGTAGTAGAGGCTCTTGTATCCTTGGTATTGTTCATTGTAATTACCATTGCCTGAAGCCAGGGAGTGTGGTCCAGTTTGGGTTCTAGATTAAAGACAGTAGAGTGCTTTCGTGGATTAGAGGTTTAAAGGAATTGAAAGGGCATAAATGACCTGTACTAGAGGTCCAAGGAGCACAAAGCTCCATGTGAAATACAGTGGATGTTGTTCATTGCTTCTATTAAAGGAAAATGCAGAAACTGTGATTTCAGCACTTTGAGAGCACTTCCTTCCAGTCCATTCAGAACATCCTACAAATATTGTGTGACACCAGACTTTTATTTCCCTCTTTAAAGGTGAGCCATGTCTTTCCATTCCGGGCGAGGATGTCCCCGTGGTCAGGGGGGACCAGGAGCAAGAACTTCAACACAGACCTACCGTCCTCAGAACCTACGGCAGCTTCACCCACAGCAGCCCTCTGTACAATACCAGTATGACCAGCAAACTGCCCCTCCAACAACCTATTCAAACCCTCCAACCACCGGTTACATGCCCCCCAGGCCAGACTTTGTGCCATATCCTCCTCCAGTCCCGCCTTCCACGCAAAATCCCATCAGCCAGTGTCCCATGAGGCCACCATTTCCAAACCACCAGCTGAGGCAGAGCTTCCCGGTCCCTCCGTGCTTCCCTCCCGCTCCTCCGCCCGTGCCAAATCCCAGCAACGCTCCCGTGCCAGGAACTCCTGCTGGGCAAAGCACCTTCCCTTACATGATGCCTCCTCCCACAGTACCGCATCCTCCCCCCCCACCAGTCATACCACAGCAAGTCAACTACCAGCCCGTGTATTCTGCAGGGTACTCACAGCAGTCCTTCCCACCACCCAACTTCAATAGCTATCAGCACAACTCTGGCTCCTTTCAGAGCAGCACTACCAACAGCGGCGGCGGCAGCCATTTTCGGCACACGGGTCAGTACCAAGGGGAGAAGTCACAAAGCGATCGACGGTCTCCAGAGAGGAGCAAGCACTACGACGAGCACCGACATCGTGAACACGGTCACATCCACGGTGACAGACATCGATCCACTAACCACGGGGATCGTCGGGATCGAGGCCGGAGTCCGGATAGGAGGAGGCAGGAAAGCAGTCGGCACCGGACAGATTATGACAGAGGAAGGCTATCGCCTCATCACAGAAGTTATGAGCGTAGCAGGTAACATGAGGTATCTTCTGCCTGCTGAGGGAAAGCTGTCATTATTGTCCCGTAGTATTTGTTTGCACCAATGTTCATCCCTCACCCTTGTTTTGCCCTCTAGCTTGGAAGGTAGTCAGTACTTTGGTTTGATGGAAAGAGCTACTGTTTTGACACCTTCCAGACACATTCTGCCTCACCTTTGCAAGCTTGGCAGATTTGTTACCCTTGTCCATGGAGACAGATGGAAGCAAAGAAGCTCTTGTTTGAAACTGAGTGAATTGCTGAGTAGTGCTATACTTTTACGGGTATTAAACATTTATGCACGTGACATGAAAGTAGAGTTGGCACAACTTTATACAGAGTTGAGCCTTAAAAACGGTTAAGTTCCAGCACTTCAAGATTTAGGTACCAGAGTTAGGGTTCCAGGTGTTACTTGAATTTGGTCTTTTTTTGAGTAAACCCTGTATTTGTAGAGAACCAGCCCTTGGGGGCGGTTTATAGTCTGATTACTGCACATATCTAATCCTGGCAGTGAGGTCTTTTAGTGAAAAACTTGTTGCACACTGTTCTTCATCCTTGTGGGAGACCAGCACAGATGCATGCAGGCTTCACAGGACCTCCCAGTGGGTGCTTAGACCTGCCGGTGTGATTCTGTTCAGGATGAAGACTTCAGCAAGCCAGGCTGTGATCTCAAGAGAGGACTAAGGTGAAAACTAACATACACTGGTTAAAAGAAATAGGCAAGTTGTAGGCTACATTGACATCTTACGATTCAGGTAGATGAATGTGGACTGTTTATTTTGGGATGTATCATGAAGTTTCTGTCCCTCTGCTTCATAGGCGCAAACAGCTTGCAAATTGTGAGCTGACCTGATGCAGTTTGCTGCAGAACCATCATCAGTTAAATCTTTCAGATGTCTTAGATGTGCACTTTTTCTGCCTCATCTACATGGTAATTTCACAGAAGCATAGAACCATTTAGGTTGGAAAAGATGCTCAACATCATCAAATCCAACTGTTAACACTTCCAAGTCCACCACTAAACCATGGCCATAAGTTCCATGTCTACATGTCTTTTAAATACCTCCAGGGATGGTGACTCGACCACTTCCCTGGGCAGCTTCTTCCAATGACTGATAACCCTTTCGGTGAACAATTTTTTCCTAAAATCCAATCTAAACCACCCCTGGCGCAACGTGAGACTATTTCCTCTTGTCTTACCGCTTGCTGCTTGGGAGAAAAGACTGACCCCTGCCTAGCTACAACCTCCTCTCAGGTGGTTGTAGAGAGTGATAAGGTCTCCCCTCCCCTTTTCTCCAGGCTAAACAATGCCAGTTCCCTCAGCTGCTCCTCATCAGACTTGTTCTCTAGACCCTTCACCAGCTTCACTGCCCTTCTCTGGACTTGCTCCAGCACCTCCATGTCTTTCTTGTGAGAGGTCCAAAACTGGACACAGTCTTCAAGGTGCAGCCTCACCAGTGCTGAGTACAGGGGGGATGATCACTTGCCCAGTCCTGCTGGTCACAGTATTCCTGATACAGGCCAGGATGCTCTTGGCCACCTTGGCCACCTGGGCACACTGCTGGCTCATACTCAGCTGGCTGTTGACTGCCTCCCCCAGGTCCTTTTCTGCTGGGCAGCTTTCCAGCCACTCTTGCCCAAGCCTTCAGTTACTTTAAAGCTCTTTTGCCCAGAAATATGTTTGGGTGGTCAAGTTCTTTATGTGTATGTGCAAATTGAGTCTTCTGGATGAGATTGAGATTTTCAGCATGATGCAGATTTTCTGTGTCTGTTGGTTTTTTGTGCGTGCTTGTGGTGGCTGTCAAGAAGAGAGGGCTTGCCCAAAGCACTCAAATGACTGCTGTGCTTACAAAGCTTTTGTGCATGGAATAGGTTTTCTTTCCCTTCCTTGAGACATTAGGAATGGTTAGAAGACACAATAATCTTACCCTTTGCCATTCATAACAGGAAAAGAGGGAAGATAGCAACAAGTCCTGTGGTGAATTCATAGAAGTTACCTGTGTATGGTATGAATTAACCATCATATTGAGATAGATGGCTTTATGACAAAGACAGAGGTGTTAAGTGGCTTTTACAAATTTCTTGAAGATCAGCATTAAGAATGTTTGGGTTTTTAGCAGTCAGCACATGGATGTTATTTTGCATAACATAATCCTAGCCTGCTTCTGTGCGCCTTTCAGATGTGGAATGTATGAAATGCCAGATTTCCTGTTTAACTTATGTTTTGGTCTCTCCAAGGGAGCGGGAAAGGGAGAGGCATAGGCACCGTGACAGCAGAAGATCACCATCACCAGAAAGATCCTACAAAAAAGATTACAAGAGGGCAGGAAGGTAAGTTAAGTTATGTTTGGTCTCTTTTGTATTTGAGGCTCTGTGCATCCATGCATGTGAGTGTGTATGTATGTGTGCATACGTGCCTGGTGTCACAACTTGTGTTGTTCAGGGGAGTGCAAGAGTTAGAGTAGCACAAGCAGTGTGGCTTGTGTGTAATCCTTCTAATAGAACCCTTATTCTTTGTTCATGCAAATAGTTTGTGGGCTATGTATTAAAAATTCTTTATATTACAACTTTTAGTTGTGAGTGATGTGACTTTCAGTTTTTAAGGATGAGTTCCAACTTTGAAACAAAATTAAAAGAAAGTCATCTAGAATTCACGTAGGCATTTTATTCTGAAATAGCATATTTTTTTCATTCTAATTTTTGAATAGCATTTAAAATACAGAAGCACTTTCAATTTTAAGTCTTTTTTTATGGTAGATCAGAACTATGAAGTGCTCTTTACTTTTTACATTACAAGCTAAAAGCAGGATAAGGCAATTGGATTTTGCTGTAATTTATGTGATAGATAGAATGATGTACTGATATGAAGCAAACTATTTGTTTTTCATTTTAAAACTATCACTGTTAAAATAATGAAGGGAATTGTTTTTGTTTACTTTCTCCCACTAAGCCGGTCTCCAAGCAGAGAGAAGAAGAGACCCCGATGGGAGGAGGACAGAGAAAGGTGGTCTGAGAACCAGAGTTCCAGCAAAGAGAAAAACTATACTGCTATCAAAGACAAAGAATCAGAGGAGAATGCATCTGAAAAAAATGAAGAGGAAGATGAGGAATTACTTAAGCCAGTCTGGGTTCGCTGTACCCATTCTGAAAGCTATTATTCCAATGACCCTATGGATCAAGTGGTATGTTTGTGTGAGAGAGCTCTAAAATTACTGTAATTACTGTACACAGTTGTTTATTGATTATTTGATTACTTGATTAATATGAACCCTTCAGCAAGATCGTGTTTTGTGTCATTTGATCCTTTTCTCCTCTCAGTCTTTTAACCCTGTTAAGGACTTTATTTCTTGGTGTTCTTACCTATTTTTATCAATTTCTTCTGCCTGTTTTCATTCAGATTAGTGATACATGGAAGAAGGGTGCTTTTTTTTCTTTAGGAGGGAAGGGTGGGGTTTTTTTTCTATTATACCTGTATTTGAGCAAAGATGTCTCAAGCACCATACATTCCCATAACTGCAGAGAAATTTAATACAGAAGAAGGAAGTCAGGATTCTTTGTGCTTGACCCTAACACTTACTGGTGGAGTAGTGGTAGAGGGAAGGAGATTTCTGGTTTTTGTGTTTGGTTGATTTGGGGGTTTTTTTGGGAGTGACATGAGAGTGAATTCGTGGTCATTGAAAGGAGGCAACAAAGTGAGCTGAGCTTTGTGTTTCATGTGTGTGATAAAATCCTTTTTAATTGCAAATACTTTTACAGGTCTCTCATTTCTTCTAAACCAGTTAAAATCAATGCTGAGCTGTACTAAATACACTTAGCCATAGTTCTGCTTCAGTAGGACAAAGGTTTGATGATAATGCACCAGCAAACGAAGTAATTTCTTTGCTAATTCACCTGGTGGAGCAATGTAATGATACGCTACAGCCTTAACAAGTATTTCCATATTTTGTTGAACTACACTGAGATAATGTCTCTTCCCCCTCTTGCGTTTCATTGTGGAATGCTGTTACATGTTGTGTTCATGTACTATGTCAACACTGTCTTTTTTTTTGTTTTCTGTTTTTTAATTTACAGGGGGACTCTACTGTGGTAGGAACAAGCAAGCTCCGAGATCTGTATGAAAAGTTTGATGAGGAGTTAGGAAAGCGACAGGCAAAGGCCAAAGCAGCCAGGCCACCATGGGAGCCACCAAAGACCAAACTGGATGAAGATTTAGGTAGGCAGAAATTCTGACTGAAATGGAATAATCTGAAATTAACCTGGTTCTGACAGTCGTGTGTATTTAATAATGTTGGTAGGGTTCTTTCCTTTGTATTGCATATTTACTGTTGCTTTTGACTGGAGTAGGGCTGGATTCTTTACCCAGAAAGTCTAAGGGAAAGCAGAGAGTATGCAGCACTGCCTTATGCTAATGTCTCTTCCATGGTGTGAAAGCACACTGAATATGATCAAATAGGCCAAAGTATGATGCAAAGAGGCTTTGAGGAGTTCCTGGTCTTATACTTCTAAAAAAGAAACAAGAGTAGTGGTGATAAAATCATATGGCTGCTTGTTATGGCACCGAGTTCATCTTTCTTCTGGACTTTATTTTGGTTGTGCAACTCTGCTTGCTATAATCTTATGTAGAAGTGTCAGTTTTCAAAGCATAGATTATCTCCATTGTCATGCACCACCCATGTGGATCTTCTTGCTGTGAAATAAGTCTGCTAGCTATATCAGTTTTTGGGGAAATACTGGTTGAATGACCACTGTGTATGTTTTGATAGCAATTTGTCTATTCAGAAGTCAGTGAAAACTATTTTTCTTGTTTTGTGAGAACTGTTAGCTGTTCTTTTTGTACTTCCAGCACTTCAGTGTTTCATGGTGTTTATTTCAGTCAGTGCAGTTAGTTCAAGAAGTTCTTAGGCATATCATACTAATTTAGATACTCTGGCATGCTTTTTAACTGATGCTTTACGTTTGCCTGTTGAGCTGTTTCAGACTCTCATATCTGAGCTTAATAACGCTTTAAATATCACATAGGAAAATTCTGAAGTTGAAATACAGGCATATAATGACATGGTCAGTTACATGCTGGCAGTATAAAAAGATACAATAAAGACGAAAAAATAAACACAAATTAAATAAAACCTGAATTCACTTATATAAAGGAAACCTTTTTCATGTTTCTTTGAACAGTGGATTTGCGCATATTTAAAGTCACTCAAGAATTGCTGGCAAAGTTAACTGTAGGGTTTTTCAGGAGGTATATTTCATGTGAATGTAGTGAGGACAAAACGGCTACATTCAGCATACCTGTGTGAAGCTTCACTTCTGAGGTCTCTGCAGAAAGACTTCCTTTGCTGCTCCAGACTAAAATACGATAGGGCCAAAAGCAACTTCTCTGTGGCTTTTTTCCACTCTTTCTTGAGGACCTGAATGCTCTGTGTCTACACTGGTCCCGTGGACTGACTTGGTGTCTGTGAGAGCTACACCTACAGCCATGCTTCTGTAGTGTCTAATAGTTCTGTCTTATTTTGTACTTAAGTAAATGCTGTCTCTGTTCTGCCTTGTGTTAGCAATAACTGTGTATTGCAGAGAGATAGCAATGTACTCCAAGAGCACCTCTAGGTCATGAAAGACTGATTTCAGTACATGAAACTGCAAGTTTTATGTTGGTCTTTCAAAACTCCAGCTTGCTTACTCTCGCAGGTCCCACACTCATTTTGCACCTAAAATTAGACTTACGAACTAAGTATTGTTTGTCGGAGAACTTCTAAAACTCAAATGTTTGTGAATATTTGTAGGAACATAGGTATATGCACGTTTAGACAAAATTTGATTTCAACTGAGCATATATGACCTATGTAAACCATATGTCCCAAGGACATATTTTAATAACATGCTGTGCTGAATTATGGATTGTATAAAAGTACAGTTTGATTTTAAAAAAAAAGGGAAGCATATTTTACTAGTAATATTTTTTTCTCTCCTTCTTTTAAATAGGGGGAGTCTTGTATTCAATAAATACACATATTCTAAACCATGGTTTCATAGTATTTCAAAGCACTGGCAGCATAGCAGCATGTTTTCTCTTAAGTCAAAACTTACAAATGGAAGAAGTGCTGCATCCCTCCTTCCACAAATAATAAACCTTACTTGCATCATGGCATATGCCTTGGCTATAAAGGCATTTATTTAAATTGGAGACGAAGAGATCTGTGGAAATGAGTGACATTATATGCATAAGAAAGGGAGTCGCTTGTAAGTACCACAGGAGGTTAGAGATATATGAGATCAGGCTCTGAGTTTTTTGTGTGTTGGCTTTTTTGTTGGTTTTTTTTCTTATTAAGTCCAGACACTTATTAACATCATTTTGCCAACACCACAAAGGAGACATTTTAACAAGTCTAAGACCATCCTCTGTTCTTTTTTTTTTTTTTCTTTAGCATTGTTCTCCCCTCTGGTAAATCAGAAAAATTGCTTCAGTTAATACAAAGAAAAATGTCTCAAAAAAAAATAATAGTAAGGAGTAAAACTCACAGAACAGGGCTTCCAAGAAACTTACGACTGGATTCACTCAGCTTGTAGCTCCAGGTTTTCTTCTTGTCTGTGGTTCCTAGTATGTGATAATAGATTTATTAGAAATAATTTATTTTGAAAAATAATCTTAACAGTACATGTTCTACAGTAATTCTTTACATATATGCCATTTCAAAACTCTTGAATGGGCAATATCCTGCTACAGACAGGATATTTTTTTGGTAGAATGAAACTAAACACAAGCACTTTGCTCATAGCAAGCAGAACTAACAAGAGGTTTGTTTAGCTCATGCTAGTGACCTTATGTGTATTCTTTCTCTTTTCTCTCTCTTTTTCTTTTTAACTTTGTAGTAATACTTGCGTTGGCTATAGCCCTATGATCTTTAAGGTCAAGTTCTTCTAGATCTGAGCAGTGGTGCTCCTGGACAGCCAAACAGCAATCTCTCATGCTTGCAAACAGATGCAGTTGTTGTAGGCTTTCAGTATCCATAGCATTTGCTGACATTTTTAATTAAAAATGCAGTTGCTGTCCCTCTCTTCAGTAGTATGAATGTCATGTACAAATTTAATAACTTTCAGTGTGCCACAGATAGCTGTGTTATGTTAGAAAATGCATTGCTGTTGGAGAGGAGAGTGTGTGGAAGTGTTTTACAGCTGTCTTTATTTTTCCTGTGTGAATCAGAGAGCTCCAGTGACTCGGACTGTGACTCTGAAGATGACAGCAGCTGCTCTAGCAGCTCAGATTCAGAAGTTTTTGACGTCATTGCAGAAATAAAGCGTAAAAAAGCACACCCTGATCGTCTCCATGAAGAACTGTGGTACAATGATCCCGGACAGGTACAGTGAGAGGAAAAAGTACTGTGTATCTGAAAGTCATTCTCCCCTGTAGACCTAAAATCCTGTGGTGGTGTCAAACGTGCTGAGTGACGTCTGTTTCTATACGCATTTTTTAGCCCCCTTTTCTCTCTCATCTTCTTCAAAGCACTTCATTTTTGATTTCAAGAGTGTGGTTCCAGCTCATGAATTCTGGGATTTATTCAGCTGGAATCACGGTTGACAGTGTTAATAAAACCCAAATTGCTAACAGTGTACTAATGTCCTCATAGCCCTGAGATAAAGGTACACAGATGAATTCTGGGATGGAGGAAAGACAGCGTGTTTTCCTTGTTTACAAATTTTTCACCTAAAAGCTCTCAGCTCATAATGATAAATAATGTTTTAAATATGCACTTAATGCTCCTAATTTCTTGTCTAATGTTTTTTTTGTAATTGCATGGAGATGATAATTCTCATTAAATGTAATTGCTGAGCTCATGAAGTGTTGTTTTGAATGTATATATTGCACAGAAGACTAGGTTTTGTTTGCAAATTTGCCATCTTCATCTTTCTTACTTAAATATTTTACAGTCTATTCTAACTCATTGTCAAATGGCACCTCAGTAAATTTATTTTTCTGGCACTTTTCGTGATGCATGAGGTTAGCATGCAACAAATCATAATGCCAAGAGATACTGCAATGCTTATTGCCACTGTGGTAATTCAAAGGTCTGTTGAATATTCTGTTACAGACTCGTGTTTATGCTTCTAGTTAAAAAAAATCAACAATGTGACTGAGCATAGCTAGCTGTTTTTATTTGTATGGAAAACAAAATTAGAAAACTGTTTAGATATTTAACTGAAGAAAATTGTGTAGCTCTTGGGCACACTTCAAAGTAATGTTCCAGGCCAGAATATTAGCTAAATAAAAAGAAGTACAATAACTGCTCGATGAATAGATTCAGGAATGTATGGTTTATGAGTCCCCTGCTGAAAAACTTTGTCCCAAAAACTTTCTTGAAACTGACTCTTCATCTTTCTTGAAGGGGATGAAATCAGATCATGGTGAGCTTGTCAGTGCTGCACTACTCCTGAGTAGATTTTATTTGAAAACCTTTGAAGTTTTCTTAGGTATTTATCTGGTGTGCCAAAGTGCTTTCTAACTGTCACTACGTAAACCAGGAATGATGGCTGTGCACACTGGCACATACAAGTACACTGTCTGACACAGAACTAGATTTTTAGGATGGATCTTTCCAACCCTTCAGTCTGAGCAGTGTGTTTGTTACTTTGGATAATCTCCAGCGGTGCTGGCATTTGCCAGAAAATAAATTGTTAAAGCCAGTGCCACCACAGTGGTCTTTTGCTTAAAAGGCCTGCTTGTGTTGCCCTGTGGGTCAGAGAAAGTTAGAAGCCATTGCCTTAGTTTATATAAAATTGTAATCTTTCAACATAATTTTCTAATCACTTCAAGACTGCTCTTCTGCATTTTTTTTCTGTGACCTGTGTCAGTAGGGACAAGATAGGTAGGTATGTATCTATCTGACTTGCTTCTCAAGTCTTGGGCTTTACAGGTATCTCTGCCTCAGTTTTGGTCCCTGTGTTTAGTGTAACAGAGGCAGTGTTAGTGCTTATTTTTTGGGGAGAGATTAGCAATTTGCTATTGAGTGCATTTTTTAACTCTTCTGTTTTATGGCTGTATAAGCCAGTGGAAGTATGCTTTTACCTATAAGCATAATTCAATTTCATTGGCCCTGTACTTTCCTCAAGGGTCTCAGAGTGTGGAAAAAAAATGCACGAACAAAAAGTTGTCACGTCACTCTGTTGTTAAGATTGCAGGACTTCAGGGTTTGGGGTTTTTTTGAGTCTAAAAACAATGCATCAGTTCTTGGATTCAAACTTTGAAAAACTCCATTAAAGCCTGGGTTTGGGAACTTCATTTGTTTTTCTGGTTTGCTTCTGGGTTTTTTTTTTTTGCTGGATTTCTGCAATAGGCATGATGTTAAGAGCAGAAAGCTTTAGGGTGTTGCAGTAACCGATAGTCTGCATTGAACTTGGTCTTAAAAGTGAAAAGAAAGACACCAGCAGGGACCCTTTTTGATACAGCTACTTGATGCACCCATACAGAATACTGAAGCGGGTATTTTTTTTTCCCCGTCCTCTTTTTTACTGGTCTGTTTTCAGGATGCAATTGAAATCTTCGCATTACTTCTTTAAAGTAACAAGTAAAATCTTCAAATGGTCTGTTTTGCATACTTCTGGTGATAGCCTTGCTGTGGTGCAGAGGGGTTAATCAGTGAACTGCATGGAACTGTTTGAACATGGAGATTTCAGCATGTAAATATTTGTGGATGTTTAGGACCTGAATCTCATTTTAGGCAGAAAGTGTTCTATTTGTATGTATAAGAAATTGAAAAGATGTATATGATAGTAGAGTGGTATGACTCTGCTGAGAGCATTTTTCCACCTTGTGCGTCTGAAACAGTGATTTAAGTTCTAATGCTATTGTGCAGTTTTCTTACATTAGTCTATACTGCTTTCAGTTTTATTGGCTTAAGAACATCCACTTAATCTAAGCATGACAGGCTTTTAGAAGCATCAGTGCTCAAGGCATTAAAACCAACATACTTTTCCAAAAAAACATTTTTCAGTAAAAACAGAATCCTATTTTGTTTTTGACAGATGAATGATGGACCTTTGTGCAAGTGCAGTGCTAAAGCACGACGAACAGGAATAAGACATGGCATTTATCCTGGTGAAGAGGTAACTAATTCTAAGAATGGCAATTATGAATACAAACCTCATGCTGTAATGCTGTAAATTCATACTTGGGTTGATTTGAGGGTTTTTTTTTTTTTTTTCCCATGATTTACAGGCTTAATAAAAACTCCTGTGCAACTTTAGATCACTTAGTTGTGTAACCTCATATTTAAAATGCAATACCAGTAATGAAATCCACCTGAAAACTACGGAAAATTTTGCTTCTATTTCTTTAGTTCTAGGGTGTTTTTTTCTTTAAAAGTTTCTGAAGCGCAATTACATTAATAAAAAGGAACTTATGGTTAAAGATCTACCATCTTCAAGTGGATTAGTATGTTACAGGGGCCCTCTTTGTGAAGGGGTTGTTTTAAAAGTAAATAAAGTAGTAATTCTGCTGCTGACAGAAGCAGGAAGCTTGTCAGGATGTTCTTTTCTTAGCACTAGAGCATGTCTTTACTGTGCACAGTGCTGTCTGCACACTGTCAAACAGTTTAAGTTCTTTATGAATAAGTGATTAGAAAAAATGACTCCATCAGCTTTCTGAAATGCATTTTATAAACACTTTTTAAAAAAACCCAAAACATTATTGAAATAGCGTTTGGTTATTTTTCCTTAGAAATACTCATTTTTACACAGCATGCTTCGTGATCAGTATTGTTTCTGGAAAGAATGACAGTGTTTGGACAACTTAAACTCTTTTATTCTAAAAACTGTTCTTGTGAAAGAATTTGAGAACATTAATGTGTAGGTTTTACAGTTTACCTTTGGGTTTTTTTCTTGAAGAATTTAATTTTTCAATATGTCTTTCATGTCAGCATGTAAAAATGCTTTTACTGAAACATTCATTTATTTCTCTGCAGTTAAGGATTCGTGAATGTTTCTGTGTATTATTCCATGTCAGAAAAATGACTTTGGTCTTACTATAAGTCGTCCCGGTTCAGGATCAGTTCCTCCCCACATTGTCTCTAGTGTTTTTCTTTCAGAGAAGGAGGGAGGAAAATTTAAGCAGGAGAAAACTGGTATGTAAAACCTGCTGCGTGAAGGCAGCTGCTCCCTGGAGCAAGACCTGCTGGGAATTTGCAGCTTCAGAAAATCTCCGAGGATATACTAGTTTTTACAGTGTCCTGTAGATAAAACTGCCTAGCTTTAAACTGACTGGTTTGTAATGGTCTTGTGGCAGCAGCAAGAAGCTTAATTGGGTGCTGAACGTCCAGAGTAATTACCCTACTTACTGGATGGGTTTTGCAAAGTGCACAGAGCTGCGTCAGGGTGTAGCTGTCCTGTCATCGCCATTCAGGCCAGCTTTTGCAGTGCTCTTTAGAGCAGCTCACTGCAGTGATTTAGTTTATTTCCACCATGTAGGTAGATGTATTCTGAACAGGCTGGTGGCAGCCTCTGAACTGCAGCAAATTGGATGTAGGGGATGTGAGAAACTGGTTTTTTTTTTCTGACTACTGAGGATTTTTAGGTCTTTAAAGCGGGCTGCTTCAGAACAAGCTGGAAGAAAACATGAATCCCAGGCATTTGGTGTTGCATTTGCAGTGCACAGAGGAGTGGCTGCCTTTGGACCTTGCAGGCAGGTGTTACAACCTGGCAGAACGAGCAGGGTTACCAGAGCTGCCTCTCGGTGATAGACTAATCCCTTGTCTTCAGGCCCCAGATTTGCCCCAAGCAGATGAGCTGGTATCTGTCTATCTTGATAACATACTTCAGGATCTTCTCATGTGAGGTCCAGGTTCCTTTTTGTAAGCTTTTTAAATCAGTTTCCTGAAATGAATTTATATAAAAGAGGAAATTAGTCTGGCACATAAACAACTAACTGCTGTGTATAAGAAAGACGGAAAGTCAAATGGAAAATGACAAAATTACAGCAATGTTTTTTACCTTTTTTTCCTTTTGAATAGCTTTAAAAATATCTCTGAAAGTGAAAATGTAGATAAGGCTCCGCTTTCCCTCTTCCCAGAATGCTTAATTATGACTACCTGCTTTTATTTAATTTTTCCTAGTGCATATTTCATGGCTATTAGAAATGCTTTATTCTCTCTTTTAATCTAAATTTGCCTTGACTCTACACATAATTCTACTTATCTCTTTCTTTAAGCCCATTAAACCGTGTCGCCCCATGACCAACAATGCTGGAAGACTCTACCACTATCGAATTACTGTGTCGCCTCCCACAAACTTCTTAGTAAGTACTTTATAAATAATCCTAACTAGGGCTCTAATGTTTTGGGTTTTTTCAGTGATAGAAGTAGTACTGCTTCTTGCTTACTCCTTCGTGGTTTTGTTTGCTTTTTTTAGACAGACAGACCTACTGTTATTGAGTATGATGACCATGAATATATCTTTGAAGGGTTCTCAATGTTTGCGCACGCCCCACTAACAAACGTAAGTATGTTAATTGCTACATAACATGAGATTTGTTTGGAAGGCAAGCTGTCTCCCCTGAAGTAGAACTTCTGTGAAACAACGGTACATGTGTGTTATGAACATCTTGCCAGCACTGGGGACATGGGAAAGACATTGGTGCTAATGAGTCTCAGGTTTTTTCCTGACTAATTGTGGTCCCCATTATCTTCAAACTGACTGAGACTGGGGTGTGCATGAAAGTAACGTTTTTACATGTTTCACAGTTTGGAAGTGAAATAAACCATGGAATAAATTGTTAAAACTGTTAGTTGGATTTAAATTGGATGAGGAGGCTTGTTAAGTTGAAAAAGTTTAAAAAAACAGCAACAACAATAAAAAAAGGTTTTCTCTTTACCAAGTGACAAATGGACTTTATTCAGAGATCTGCTCTAAACGGATTTCTCTCTTCTAAAAACTTACCTAGATGTATCCACTACTTTCTAACATCTGTTCAGGTTCTTCAGGAACTAGGCAAGTTATAATTTTTATTAAAAGTTGTAGGTATTTAAAGACAATTTTATATTTTGAAAGCAAATATAACAAGAAAGGACACAATTGGTACCTGACTGCACTGCTTTTCCAGTAAAAGCTGTTAGCCATATCTGAATGAAAAAACTCAAATACATAATTGCTGTACATTTGAAGATTTTCTTGTTATCCTGATCTTTCAAGAACTATTTTTGCAAACGCTGTAGGGTTTGTTTCCTTGATTTTATACCTATTACTAGCTACACCACCAGTACCAAAACCCAGTATAAGAATGGTGAGCAGTACAGGACTGGGATGTAAGAATACTAGAACTGAGACGCACTGAGAAGAAAGCATTTGTTTTTCATGACAGTTTACTTGCATAATATATATGACATTACTTTTGGTGAAGAGGGGAAGGGGCTGTAACGTGGATGAGAAGTCAGTAGGAGAGGAGAGTAGAGTCCAGCTGGTGGGGTTGCAGCGTGAAGCGCTCCTGGCAAGTAGCATTAACTCAGCCTTGGGGTTCAAGGCAGATTGGGCCCGAGGCTTTACATTTCACTCTGCAAATGAGTAAAATGAACAGTTCTGTTTTACTCCAATTACAAGGGTAAAAAGACTACCTTGGGTGTACTGCATGGCAGGAAGGCAGAGAGTTATGGAAATCTCTAACGCACAGAGAACAAGGAAAACTCTTCTTGTCTGACATGAGTAGTTAGTGAACATTGAGCTTACTCTTACTGTAAAGTGCATGTGTGTTTTTCTCATTCCAAACAGGGGAATTGATCAGCAGCAAGTGAATACTTTTTTACAGAGTTGAATACAAAGCAACACTGTATTGTCAGTTCCTGTTACTAACAGATATAAAGCCTTTTGGAAGGAGTCTCTTGCTCTCTTGTGGTGATTTTTGGCAACATATAAGTTGCCATTTGAGAGACGTTTTGGAACATATTTGATAAAACTGATGTAGCAAAGGGTAGCAAAAATAGAGATCTCAACACCAACGTCTTTGAATGAACCAAATTTCTGTCATTCGGAGTCTTAGCTTTCCACACTGTTAGGAGTCTTACAACTGTTATTACTATTACTCAGTAATAAATGAGTCAGATATTAGGGAAAATGGTTAGTACAGTCATAAAAGAAATTATAATTTTCTTAAAAGAACTATGAAAACAATTTTATAGTACCAGCCACATGTTCCTTTGCTATGTATTTGCTTGTTTATGTGGAACTCTAATTCATGGAGATTTTGGTCATGGTCACTTCTCTAAAGATTCATTTTCTATTCAATGCAAAAAAAATACCCCAGGTTACTGAGTTTCTGAACTGGAATATCCTTTCCTGGTTGAACTTACATGTTAGAAAGTAAGCAAACACTCCTGTATTTTTATTTATTTTTAAAAAAGCCCCGCTAATTTAGATGTCACGAGTTTTCGTCTCCTCAGATTCTAAATGGGACATTATACTTCCAAGGTTTTTTCTTTTGTATTCACATTTATATTGTATTAAATTGTAGGAAATGCAGTTTTTTGTTTGGTCGTTTGGTGTAGCTGCTTAGCTTATCATGCAGATATCAACAGAATTGTGTAGACAAAATAGTCAAATGTTTGACAATGGGCTACAAGAAGATGCAAGTAGAATATTGCACCTCTGTTAAGTCCATTAATTTCAGTGCAACCTCAGCACCATTCAGATATTTACTTTTATGCTTATCAACACAAAATAACCTTGGGTTGCCTCACTTTCGCAGACCACTGAATTTTTCTAAGATGCTTTAGTGCTTGCAAGGCCAGTGAATAGTAAAACTTACTAAAAGCTGTAGATGTGTAGGGTAGGATTAGGCGTTTTTGTAGTCTTTTAGAAATTTAGTATTTTTGCTTCAGAAGATCCCATTTGAAAAACAAATACCTTCAAAAGTCCATGAGCACAAACGAAGGAACCTTTTTTCAAAGGTGAAAAACAGGAATTACATATTTGTCTTACTAGTTAGTTGAGTGAAATTCTGAGAATATGGATTGGATGAAATTAGTATAAAACTATAAATTTATACTGAAGTTCTTATATTGTGTTGCTATGACTTAAAGCTATATTTCAAGACAGTATAGATAGCAGAATTAGGAGAGTGCTAAAAAAACCTTGCATTCAGGTCACTGTATCAATTTGTTATGTTGTGTCAATAAATTCTCTTCTAAATGTACAAGTGAGAGAAGATACTGCTTTACTGAGTCTTGTGTTTTCTTCTAAGCAAAATTTTGTCTCCAGTAGATGGCATTATTTAATCTTCCTTTACTATCCCTCCTGTCAGCCCTATGTTATTACAGAGGTGGAGGTTAGAACTGTTACTTTTCTTGCACATGCTCATGTTCCTGTCTTTGTATGATCCCCAGAAGCAGCTGTTTTAGTAAGTGCCCTTTTCAGCAGACGGTAATACGTTTGCATACAAACTTGCATTAACTATACATTTGATGCTGTATAATTTTTCATGCTGGATTTCTATTTTCCTTCCAGATTCCTCTATGTAAAGTAATCAGATTCAACATTGACTATACAATTCATTTTATTGAGGAGATGATGCCTGAGGTAAGAAGGATAATTAGTCAAAAAGTCATGTGGGTTATGTGTTGTTGATGTGCTTAATGGATTAAACTCTTTAGAATCCCATCTTGTGAAATCTCTCAGAGACAGGCTGTGTTCTGAACAAATGGCTGAAAATGAACTTGCACTTAGAGGTACCAGCATAAATCCATCTACCTAGCCTATCATATATTAAGATCAAATAGTAAGAAGTGCTTATATCCATAGCTTCTTTTCATTTTAAATTATATACAGTATATGTCAGGTACTCTTATCTGTAAGCTGATTTAGGCATTATCCTCCTTTTATGGATGACAAAAGTAAGGCATATGGAGGTGCTGGTTTGCCAGGGCCACATAAGTCAGTGGCAGAGCTGAAACTTAATCATGAGTTTGAAGCTCTGAAGATTGCTTATCAGTACTTAATATAAGCTGTTGCCGAAACAAATTTCCGGTGGATACAAACAAAGCACATTCAGTTCATAATCTTTTTTTTTTTTTTTTTATTACAAATTAATCCCTGGTGAAGCCAGTTTGTGAAGTAAATTGCTGCAGTGGAGCAGCATGTGTAGGTACAGAAACACCCCTGCATATTAACTACTAAGATAGGATCAGTGCTTAATTTAGTCACATATATTTACATTTTCCTTTCTAGTTATCTCTCTTTTTGGTGCTCAACAGCATCTAAATATATGCAAGAGCATATATTTAGATTAATGTGATCAAAGCGATTCATTTCTTGGTTACTGAATCTGCTGTGTTGTTTCCAAATCTTGTTCTAAAACAACAAATGGCCACCAAGCAGAACAGGGAATTTGACATTTTTTTTAGAGTCCTACTCAATTGAATACAGCAATTGGGTAGAGCACTCTTTGCAGACCCTCATTACTAGTGCATTCTTGTGAAAGAGATTGTCTTGTTGGATTTGGAATTTATGACTGGTACAATACACCTACAATTTATATCAGCCTGGCCTGATGTTGTTTGTTAAGGAAGGCTTTTTAAGTTCCTTCAGTTCTGAATGAAAGCTCTTAGATTTGGAGGTGCTGCTTTGCCACTTGATGAGAAGAATCTCATTCCTTATTTTTACTTTGTTTAATCCTCTCTTTCCTGTTGGCTCTTGAGGTCAAAATCCTCAATTTGCATCGTACTGATATGTTGCTATGGAAGTGATCATGATATCAGAGATGGTGATTTATACGAAGAGATGGTGATTTTAATATGAACATGTAGGAAAAAAATGAATTATGAAAAAGATCCTTCTCAGAAATACGTCATCTGCTTAGTGTACTCAGGTGAAAGGGTTTTAGTGCATGGTGAATTAATTGTCACAGATGCCTAATTTCTGCCTTTAGTGTTGATTTGGACATTGACTAAAGAGTCTTTGTTACAATGCTTTCATGAGAGTGCCTTGTGAATGACATCACTGTGTTATGTTACAGTAGGTGATTACAGATATATCAATACTGTTTCCAAAGCCCAGTGTCTGGCAGTTGGCAAATATGAAGATACTGTGGTTTGTCATTGTTTTATTTAAATATATGTGACTGGCATTATTTGTATTAGAGTATTATATAATTATAATTCCATATATTTTTTTCTTTCCCCAGAATTTTTGTGTGAGAGGTCTTGAGCTGTTCTCTTCATATCTATTCAAAGATATTTTGGAGCTCTATGACTGGAATCTTAAAGGTAACTTTTATTTAAGGGAAAAAACTCATACAAAATCACAATTAGTTTCAGCTTTTGTAAACTATTTTGTTATGTTTTAAAAGAGAGAAGTGGGGTGGGGCCTCAAGAAAAGAGTCACGTGACTGCTTATGTGAAAGGGACAAGATTCCACTTTGTTCTTGAAGAAGATGATAAATATTAGAGTTCATTAGTGTGGGCTATAGCAAATAAAATGCACAAACTTGGCACTGTATTCTTGCAGATAAACTAAATTTCTTCCTTAATCCCAAACTTCTTTTTAATCAAACAGTAAATATTATAATGTGTTTAATATTGCACAGTATCGTGCACATGGTATTTTGAAAGCCAAGGTGCCAAGTAAACTATTCTCTCTGCTTTTACAAGCTAACAAACAAGTTATTCATACAGTGTTTCTCTGCAGTCAACTTACAAAGCAATGTCATTCAGCCAACCATAGAGGGATAACATATCATTATAGCTGAATGTTTTTGACCCGACAAGATGAAAATATGTTTCTGTGAAGACTATGACAAAGTAGAACTTCAGCGATGAGCCTTCCCTTGGTCTAAAAGAAAACTGAGAATATCAAAGAAATTTGATGTCAGAATTGTAGGTGTGCTTTGGTATCTTGACTTTGCCTATGGAGATGCACTCTGCACTTATTGCAGTTAAACAGAGTTTCATGCATTTTGTTTAGCCTTCTTTGGTTTGATGCTAATTGTATTCTGATATCAATGTTGTCTTTTGTGTCACTAGTTCTGATTGTTCTTTCTTTTTTAACACCAGGTACTTAATGATTTGGCTTTTATTTTTATGCAAAGCTTTGGATAATGAAATAGGAAATGAAAAAAACCCAAAATAGCATCATGAAAATTTCCTTGCTATTACCAAAAAACACCTCACTAATTGGCAGGGACTAATAAACTGGTGCTTGTGTTTGAAGGGCTTAAGTGAATTAATTATGTGTTTTTGTTAGATTATTTTTATTTTTTCTTTTTTTTTTTTTCCTATTCCTTTTGTGAATACATTGCTGTTCATAAATTTTCCATGTTTTTTTTCATATTTAAGGTCCTTCACCTGAAGATGACTCTGTTTCCTGCCCCAGATTTCACTTCATGCCGCGGTTTGTGAGATTTCTTCCAGGTAATGTTTGTATTATGTAGTGTTATGGGAATTAGATCTAAAAAAACAGCAACAACAACAAACCCCAAAAAACCTCCCCCAAAAAAAAAACTACAGAAAAACTTATTGCAAGTGGCATGGCAGTCAGTGTAGAGATCTGGTGCTTCCATCTGAAGCTGGCAGTGCTTGCAGTGTGGGTAGTTTACTCAGAACTAGGATTCAGATGGGCGGCCAAGTCCCACTTCCAGCTTTTGTCTTTGTCACGGTGATTTTAGGCAGTGCTGGGTCATCCTTGTCCTGCCCTGAGATGGAGCTGTGGCATTTGAGGAGTGCTATTATCTAATCTCACATGTGAACTGAATTTCTTGTCCTCTCTGCTCTTCAGAATACCATGTGATTATATTAAAATTCGTGAGGTACAGTTTTGAGGGTCAGCATGATTGGCACCCCTGAGCACATGTTGTTTTGATTGTTTGTTTCTTTATCTTAACGCAAGCTTAGACCTTGCAACAAAGGCTGAAAGAGACAAAACCACCATTCCAGTGCAATTCAACCCTAGCTTGCCAGCCAAGGACAAGCTTCAGTCTGGAGTGTTACACTTATTTTGAGTGAACAGCTTATGCAGGCATTTAACACATCCTAAGGTATTAGGACAGACTTTCAGTTGATATAAATGTCATGGCTCCATTGAAAATGTGTCCTGCTGAGATCCTGCCAGTGATTGCTCCAGAGGGGTTGTGTGGACAGGAGGACGCATTTCAGCTGCTGGACTGAGGGTGCAGATGAGACATGGAACAATCTTCATCAAGAGGGCAGTGGCCTGGAGGTGCTCTCTGCTCAGGGCTTTGAAACTTAGTTGGGATATTAATTATAGCTGTAGCTAAATGAGGTTTGGCTCGTTACTGTAGAGAGTACTGATGGCTAGATGACTATATTTCTAATTGTTGTTCTTTCCTGGATACACAACACTATTCAATCAGAAGCAGAGCTCTGAGGCTTGCTAGCAAACATTGATTTGGTTCTGCTGAAGCAATTTACAAAATAAGCCATCAAGCCACATGTGGCTGATTAACTTGACCTCATCACAGAGTGACAACAAGTTTGACCTGCCTGGTTTGTGTAGCTTGAGGGTGTTTTCCTGTTAGTTTGGGGGTTTTATATTCTGATTATTTTTTTTACTTTAGAAGTCAACTCTTTCTGTGCTGTTGGATTGTTTACTGATAGGAGAGATAAGTCTCTATTAGGTTCCCTGCTTTCTAACTCTTTATGAAAATGTCTTTTTCCTGATATTTCTGCATATGTAGTTGCCTCTTACCATCTTGATGATAGATATTTTTAATCAAGTTTGCATTTTGCATTGATTATTTTTTGTGATATCCCTGGAGATTTTTAATTTCCAGAGAGTGGGAATCTATTTCCTTCAGGTATGTTTGCAGAACACTATTTATCTATGTCTAATCAAAGAAGCAACAGATCTTCACACATCCATCAACTGTCTCTTTAAAGATAGAAATGAATTGCTGATTTTGTATCTCCTCTACTTTTCTTTCTTTCTTTCTTATTTTTCTAATGTGGTCTAAAAATATGAGGTTTGTGGTGTCAGGTTTTCTATATGGATTACTTAGACACAGGCCTTGGGGTAGCACTAAGCTTTGAGCTAATCATACCAGATTTACCAAGTGCCAGAGAGGCATAGTATGTGGGATACTGGCTGCATTGTATTCATTGTCATGGATTTTTATGATGATAAATATATTAATAGAGTAAAAGACCAGAAAAACGTTTGGGGCCCCACGTGCTGCATGTTCTGACCCAGGAAAAGTCAGGTGTCTGACTACTGTTTAGCACAGCTGCCTATAGCAACCTGTCCCCTTCCAGTCCATGGTCGTCAGTGAGTCAGGCTGCACTCTTTTTTTAGAGATTGTTGGACACGGGCTGCTTCTTGCATAACAGTATAATCTAGTTGTTGACAAAGACAAAAGTCTTGTAAATGGAGTCCCCCTTTAATTTGAAGGAAAACTTTGCACATACAATAATCTGCCCCTATAGCTATTTAGAAGTATTTTCTGTTTCCAGTGAGATTTGGGGTATAATTTCCCCATTTAAGCTTCCCTCTTGGAATTTGAATGAGGTTAATTGTTCTAAGAGGCCAAGATATATGATTCCCTTTCATCTATTCTGTGCCATAGTGCTGAAATCCCAGCTGAAGTGAGAAGCTCTTGTTCCCTCGTGTGTTTTGTAGAGGACATCATCTGACATGACACTGCTGCTCTGCAGCAGTTCTGCAAGGCTTTGCCTGTGTGCCTGGGATGACATTCCTTGTGCAGTGGCGTTATCCCCCATGTTGCTCCAAGACTTGACATCTTTTTTTTTCTCCATGCCTTTTTTTTTGTGTGTGTAGTGATAGAGAGAATGTAGTCAGTGGCAGGACCAGATTGCTCCTGCTTCCTGGGGAAGGGAAATCAATGTTTGTGCTCTGTGGCGATGAAACTTGAAGATTCCTCCATACCTACAAACTAAGACCTTGTCGCTGAATGAGAGGGTCAGAGAGATGTGTGTCAAAATTAAAGCACTGTAGTAGCATGTCTGTCTTTTTACTCGTATGAGTGGACGTACTGAATTTGAATAGTCAATGTCGTCTGAGTGGTGGTCTTTCCTGTTTGCATCTTCACATCTGTAACTGGCTACCTGGAGCCAGTCAGATGCTTATTATACAGTTTTCCTTTGTTACAAGCAGCCTTTGCTGTGCATATTTTCTGGGGTCTTAGAAGTATTTAGCAGTTTTCATGTGCCCTTGATTCATTTAGTGACAGAAAACAGCATGAGGCTCTTTAGTGCTCATTATTGCAGGTGCAGCATGTGAGCAGTACAGACGAGTTTAAAATGCAAGGATAACTCTCTACATTCATCCAGAAGTATCCCGTAAAATTTTGAGTGTTCTTTAAAAAAGCTGCATAAATGCCTAAAGGCTTTTTAACTGCCATTGTAAAAAGAATGATAAAAGTGTGAAAAGGAAGACGTAACTGGACGATGTAACTGATTGTTCTGCCTGCTCATTTTAAAGTTTTTTCAAGCAAGTTAGAATCTTGAGCTTTGCAGTATGATTAAACTGTTACTCTTGCTACCATTACCATTATTGCTTCCAGTTTAGCAAAGTGTGCAGTATTCATCAATAAAACATTTGCCTTCATATTTGTCAAGTCACTTAAGCATTTTGCATTTTATTTTGTTCATCCAAATATTATATGTGTTCTCTGTAGTTTCTTTTTGCTCATCCCTTAGGAGTGAATATTTGAAATGTGTTTTATTTATTTATTTATTTAAGATGGAGGAAAAGAAGTACTCTCAATGCATCAGATTCTTCTGTACTTGTTACGATGCAATAAAGCTCTGGTGCCTGAAGAGGAGATTGCCAACATGCTTCAGTGGGAAGAACTGGAATGGCAGAAATATGCAGAAGAATGCAAAGGGATGATTGTTACCAGCCCTGGCATGGTAGAGCAAATAATTCTGATTTATGAACAGCCCACTAACAGATGCATGTCTCGTTTCAGAGAGCCTGCTACAAGCTGAAGTGGAAAGGGAAAAGATGACCAGTGACAGTGGAGATCACTGTAGGAACAGTTCATTGACCTGTTCCAACCCTGGGAAGAATTGCCCCCTCTGCTGCTCTGCTGAAGGGCAGGTTTCCAGATGAGCACTGTTTCAATGTGCGCCTTAGAGGGAATGGCTGTATTTTATGCATGTGAAACTGTAGTTTGCTCCTCTGCTTTCTTATTTTTTCAGACGGTCTTTATGTGCATATCATCTCTTTTCCCTGACATAGGAACTATTTGCTATTTTCTTTCATCTTCCTCTTTTGACCCTCTAGCTCTATTTAACGTGTGCTACCAAGTTTCTGCCTCGAATATGGAAAAGGTGTTTTCTGCAGTTTTTTCCACTTTGTTTCTATGTTGCTCTCGCTCACACTAAAGAGTTTTGTGTACATTAATGAATGCATCCATTAATTTTCAATGCCAATCTTGAAACCCCTATGGCCTTATTATTTTTGAAACAATTAGTATTTTAAAGCATATGTTCTCTTAACACAACTCCTTTCAACTCCAGTGTTTATGTGAATTTAGCCTATTTTTCTGACATTTGTGTTTAAGAATATGGGTCACGAGAATAGATGCTTGGTTTGGTCAGTATCGCAAAGTGATATCTCAGTGGTAGAGGCATGTTTTGGACCTAATATTTTTGACTGCCATGCAGCTTTCTCAGTTGTAATCCTTTCTTTTTCTGACTTCATTTTCCTCCTTTGCTCATAGCTCAACTTGTTAGCTTCTTCAGAAAAAGCGTGACTTGGTATCATGCATAAGGGGAAATGTGGTTTGCTAACTGAAAAACATGTCCTCAGACTGCAGCCAAGGTGACTTCCTAAATAAATTTTTCAAGTTCGTACTTTTAAGTATGGCAACATGACATTTAGTAAGCTAGTCATATAAGCTAGTCATAACTTTGGCAAGGTATTTTTTTTCCCTTGATTTCTCTCTGAGTCTTTTTGTTCTTGATAAAACTTTCTAGACCAAGAGGAAAAAAAAATTGTCTGTGGGAACAAGAAATGCAGTGTATATGTGACCTGTTACTATGGAAAATTCTACCTGAGCTGGTTAAAACTGAGTGTTAAATCAGAATCTCATAATAGAAATTGTTAGCCTTAACTGTTTAACTTAACGTTGCCTGTGGTTTCTGTGATACAAGGTATGTGCCAGTGCACAAGCCGTCAGCATCTGAATGGTATACGCTGATATAACTTGGGTGATCTTGCTGAAGATTCACTGATTTCAGCTAGCTGATAACTTGCTTTTTTTGTTTAGCATGAAGGAACGCATATATGCTCCTTCCTTGTGCCACTGAATGGCAAATGTCTGTCTGCACACAGCAGTGTGGTTTGTGAGTGAAGTGTTAATTTTGAGATTTTGTGTGATTTTAACTGACAGACTTTGCATTCTACAAGACAATGTTTTTTTAGTGTTGTGTATGGACATCAAAATATGTAAGCATAAAAGAAATCTACAGCACTTTGAAACGTTGTCATGTTATAATGCCATCGTTAGAACTTGGTTTTTTTTCCTCAAGAAGATTGCAATGACTTTCTTCTCAGTTTGTGGATTTTTCTGTTCATTGCAGCATATTCTATTGAGTATGAAAGCAAGTGAAAAATAGAATATGAAAGTATTTTCTATGCATTTTACAACCTTAGAAGATAAAACAGTTCTGTTATAGAGACAATGTGAAACGGCTTTAGAAAATGACAGCTCTTCAATTCAATTTTATCCACTTGACACAACAAAGTAAAACCACTAAATTTTATTTCACTGCCTTCCTCCGCAACATCACTTCAGAAACAATAATTCTTGTGAGCAGATCTAGGTTTTATATATGTATTTTATTTTTTTTTTTAGAGTTAGGTGTATATAAGCATGATGGAGAAGAGAAATCCCATTTACTTAAACAGCTAACGGTAGTTCATTGTTTAATTTATTCATGGTATTTCATTAGTTCAGTGAAACTTTGTGTTGGAAGAGATTTAAAGGTTCACAAATTTTAATCCTTTAATTCTTTACTCTTTCTAAAATATTGCTGCTTTTCTCACTGGTACAAATATGTCTGTATTCTAACACACTTTTGTTCTACATCTGCAACGCAGTCTCATCATGTCTTTTAGTATCAGCAAAGCCTTGACTACTGAGATTTGGAGTAGGAAACAAAGAGAATGGGCCTCGGCTCTGGTCAAATTTCTTTGTCCTCAATGAGATTTTAAAAGCAAAGTTGTGATTATTAGATGGTCTCTCACACCACTTTTAAAAGACCATAGGGATAAAAATCTGACGGAGTAACATCTAATTTGCTTGTGTCCTGTCTGTCAGTGTGCAATTTATACTGTATGTTTCCGTATGGTGCTGTTTGTTCATTTAACCTTCAGAAACAGCACCAGAGAGGAAGCCAGTGTTCACTGTGCTGAAGGAAAAAAGTGTGGCCTCGCTACTCCCCTTCTCACAACCTCAGCGAAGGAATGATTGTGATTAAGTCTTAACCAAGGAGTTCTTTCGTCCTGGTTGTTACCAGGTATCTGTGAAGAGCTGTGTTACTGAGTGACAAAACTCCAAGGCAGTGGCATATAAATAATGAGAAGGACTCTGGTTTTGAGTGATCCTGAGGCCACGTTTCACACAGATACTGCTCTATGCGTATTGAAAGCTCTTCTCCCTTTCCCACTTTTGAGGATCAGATTTCTTCTATTAAAGTGTCGAAACATGAAGCATTTGAATAGGAAAATATTATCTGTATTTTTTTTTTAATTTATTGATAGTAATTGGTGTATTAAGTATAATTATTGTTTCATATTCTGTTAATCATATTTGCCACACTGGTTCTTGGAGGAGCTGCTGCAGAGCAAGGCTGCTTAAGGGGGTGGGGATGGGAGAAGTTCCTCGTTTTTAATGTTAAGAGAGGGGACAACCAACAAACAACTTCTGTGAAGATAAAAGCTTTAGAAATTGGCTTTGTGCAAACCCCACAAAACCAGATAAACTTAAATTTCAGGACTTTAAGCTCTGGTTTAGGGAACAACATTCTGCCTGCTACAAATTCTCCCCATGTTTTTCATTAGATTTTGTTGTCCTAATCCCTTTTTATTGGAAGTGCTGTGGGGAAAACCTTTTCTCTTATTTTTTCTTTTTTTTAAAAAAACAAACAACAAGTTGGCAGCATGAGCTAACTAACTTTTTTTTTAATTTTATTTTTCTCTTTTTTTGGCTGGGGAAATGTAACTTTATGTTCAGTCATCATGTCCAAAGGGAAGCTGATAAGCATTCTCTGTCTGAATGTCAAAGTTTTAAGTAAGTTTCTGGTTTTGTAGAATAGATTGGAAATGTGGCCACCTGATGAGGCTTACTTTTATTTCTAGAATTGGCTTTGCTTATCCATGCAGAAAATGATTCCTGTCAACAGTTCTACGAAGGTGGTTTGAAGGGTGAAAGCTTTGTTCTTGACACAGGTTTTATTGTTTTGTGAAGAGAATGGTGGGAGCTGTTTCTGTAACTCTGAAACTCATCTTTGAAAAATTCACAATGCTAAATTAGAAGTTTTGAGATTCAGGTAACTAGAAGTAATGCCCTTTTTCTGAAATCTTAGACAAGCAGAAAATACTGGCCTCATCCAGCTGATTGCAAAGTGGGGAGTAAGCAAGCACATAACAAAGCAGCTTGTCGGGTAATGGCGAAAATGTTTACTTGGAGACAAACTGTGCACCTTCGGCTGAGTTTTTAAATACGTTAGATAAGTGATTGAGAGGTATGTAAGCAGCGTGTCTTCTACAGTGATGTGCAATTACTTATTTTCTGTGTTTTTAGAGGTGAAGCAAAAATAGCCTCCTTCTACACTGTCCTTTTTAACTATAAAAAGAACTCCTGTTTTGAAGTGTAGAAAGGACAAAAGTCTCCTTATTATACAAGACTCTATTCCTCATTGTACACATCAGCCTGGAAGCCTTTTCTAAGAGTAGCATGATGGGTTTTTTTTAATGCTATTTAGTCAGTGTGATTGAATGGATCTAATAATGGCTTCACTTGCATTGGGAAATCAGGAACAGGACTGAAATTACAGAGGTAACCTAATCTTAGCGAACTGCTCAGGCATGTGGGAGTTTGGATGCTGGAATGCTAATCCTGATTTTGTTTCCAATGTGATGTTCAACCAAACAAATTTTCTTTTAAGTTCTTGGAAATAATCAAACTTTAAATTTCCTAACTTGTAAAATGAAAATAAAAAGACTTTGTTTTTTCTCTGGGGGAGCCAAATATTGATTATAATATTAATGATTAGTTTTATGTGTATTTTAATAAGCTTTGAATATTGCTGATTTGTGGTTCCTGGATAGTGTTGGCTAGAGGCAATACATTTTCCGTGGAGCTGTTGTCAATTAGGTTTATTTTGTTTTTCTCCTAGAAACCCAGCTCGGTTCGTATTGATCAACTGGACCGCGAACAGTTCAATCCTGATGTAATTACTTTCCCTATTATTGTCCACTTTGGGATACGACCCGCTCAACTCAGTTATGCTGGAGATCCTCAGTAAGATGCTTTTCCTTCCATCGTTTGTTCAGAAACTCATTACTATTATCATTTGGTGCTTAAATAGGGCTTGTTTATGTGCTTAATTGGGTCTGCAGTTTTGAGGCCCAGTCACTCGTATATGCATATATGACAGACATATTCTTCTACAACTCCTTGTTGACAATTTTAGATTTAATATGGGGAGAAGTGGGAAGAGTGAATGCTTATCCAGATAATAACAACATATTTTCCTTTGACTTTGAACACGACTTTTAATCCTCCTTGTCTTTTAGTTTTCTTACCCATAAAAATAAAATGAATAGACCAAAGAGTATAAGAACCACGTACATTTTGATGCTGAATTTCTTAATATTTGTGAATTTCTAGAACCTTGCATTGAAAATAGCGTAGAGATACAAAACATGAATAGCAGTTGGTATGTTCATAAGGACAAATGGTGAGAGCCTTTTGTTGTACTGTTGTGGTTTAACCCCAGCCGCTAACCAGGACCATGCACCTGCTCACCCACTCTCCCCAGGTGGATTTGGGGAGAGACTCAGAAGAGTAAAAGTGAGAGAACTCACGGGTTGAGATAAAGACAGTTTATTAAGTAAAGCAAAAGCTGTGCACGCAGGCAAAGCAAAACAAGGAATTCATTCACTACTTCCCATCAGCAGGAAGGCCATCTCCAGGAAAGCAGAGCTCCATCACCTCTAATGGTTACATGGAAAGACAAACGCCATAACTTGCAAAGTCGCCCCCTTCCTTCTTCTTCCTCCAGCTTTATATACTGAGCAGTGATGTCGTATGGTGTGGAATATCCCTTTGGTTGGTCAGGGTCAGCTGTCCCAGCTGTGTCTCCTCTCAACTTCTTGTGCACCCCCAGCCTGCTGGCTGGTGGGGTGGTGTGAGGAGCAGCAAAAGCCCTGACTGCTTAGCACCAACTAAAAACACCAGTGTTCTAACAAACATATTTCTCAGCCCAAATCCAAAACATAGCGCTATACCAGCTGCTAATAAAGAAGTTAAATCTGTCCTAACTGAAACTGCGACATGTATTGACCAAAATATTTCTGTTCTGGTTTTGTCCTTTATAGGTACCAAAAGCTGTGGAAGAGTTATGTGAAGCTGCGTCACCTGCTGGCTAATAGTCCCAAAGTCAAACAGGCTGATAAACAGAAATTATCACAAAGAGAGGTATGCTGGGCCTGCCTATAACTGATGGTTGAGCGTGGTAATTCAGGAGGGAATAATGCCATACGACCACCCTGTTTATGGAAACAGTAGAAATCCTTTACAAAAAACTTTTATTTTCAAGCTGCTAACACTGATTTTATTTTTATCTTTGCTTGTTAGGGAACGATTTTTTTTTCCCCCTTTTCTCAGTTGTCAAACTACTGCATGTTTTTTCCCAATTATAGAAATTATTGTTATAGAACCACAACTTCTTTATAGCCATTGCCATTAATGGTTTCAAGAATTAGCATAGAGAATGACTTCTTATTTCATACTGCACTTTTAACTGGCCAATAATTTTAAACATTTCTCTTTTTTGCTAAAAACTGCTGCACTTATGTATGGTTTTACACCATAATTTATTAGGCTGTCTTAGTGACATTCCTTAAGATATTTGAGTCAAAATCATTTGGTTGTTGTTATTTTCAGTAATCTTAAGTGACAAATGAGGCATTTGTTGAATTTTTGCCTTTTCTCTTTGTCCCTCAAAGTGATGAGCAATAAGCATTTTCTGACTGCAGATGCTCAACCAATTGGGAATTAAAATCAGAAAAATAAAGTCACCTAAATATAGACTAAAGCAACCTGCTCTCGGGTATCTGTTTTTTTTAAGATCTTGGACTGAAGTTTTGAATTTGTCTGGTGCATATCTACCAGGCAGTCTTAATTGGACAACTTACATAAAGAATACATAGAGGAGAAATTAACTTCTGTGGTACTGGATGGAGTTTAATTAAGTGGTGGTGTATTTTTATTTATTGATTAGAAACCCTAATGATTCATAGAATCGTAGATTATCCTGAGTTGGAAAACACCCATGGGGTTTGTTGAGTCCAATTCCTGAGTCTTCACCAGTTTGCTTATTGTGTAGCTTTGGTTGCAGTAAATGTTTGATACATTTGACATTGCATCTGATTTTTATTATTACTGCAAAGCCCAGTAGGCTGTTGGTGTCAGCAACAGTCTTAGTTATCATTTTATATATGGTGATATTAAATAAGTCCTTAGCTTCCTTACTTGTAAATGGGAAAAAAACCAACACTAAAGTTGTGACTTAACTGTGCCACAGTTGTAAGGAAAAAAATGTTGTCCCTATAGGACATTTTGTTTACTACAGCTTTCTACACTCTGAGCAAGTAGAAGGGAAGAGCATTGTTTTATGGGCATCTTTTCATTAGGGCTAATGGACAACTTATTTGTAAAATTGCAGTGGAGTGGATACACGGGAGTGATTATGTTTTGCTTCAAAAGATAAAATGCTCCTTTGGTATTTATCACTTCCTCAGTGTGTGCTGATTTTTGTTTCTAGACTGTATTATCTAGGATAATGTGTTTCTCAAATAGCTGTCTGCCATCAGAGAGGCACATGGAGCTGTACGTGAGGATAACCTATGCATTTTGACAGTGGAGGTGTCAGTAACTTAGGAGGAGCTGTAGGGCTGTACCTGACTGATACATGGGCGTTTAAAGATTATGAATCATATATTATGAGTAACACTGGAGTGCTTCTGAGCCAGCCAGCCTGAAAGTGCAGCCAGGTCTAACAAACACTCTAGCACCTGTCTTAGAAAACACCCAATGACACAGCCTCGAAATGCAAATTTTAGACAGTGCACAAGGGGCGTAGTGTTGTGAGCATCTCTGTTCCCTCTGCCATCGGTCATTCACTACTACGAGACTGTATGATGTTATTGTTTGTGACAAGGTCATACCTGGGGGCTTTATTCCTCTAATCTGACTTGGAGCACTTACAGCAGGTGCATAAATTGGGACCTGAAGGCTCACTTTGAAGTCAGTGGAGAGAGAAGAGGATTTTTTGAAGCCATTTATCCCCCTTCACTGAATATAAAAGGAGCCAGGGCTAGCTAGGCTTTTACCCTAGGTTTCTTAGTATTGAGGTGTCTGAGGTTTGATGAATCTGCATCTGGATAGATGTGCCCCTTGGAACCACTCTCTGAGTCTCTCTGCAGAACAGAAGACAGAGCCCATTCCTGCCCGGAGATGCTAACAGGCTTCAGACTGGAAGCAGGGAAGAGACAGCTTTGAGCAAGTGCCCTGTAGTGAAAAGGAGAAGGAGAGGGAGGATGGGTTGCAGCTTTGAAGAGTTTTGTGTTCTGAAGAAGGAAGAGGACTGAGGGAGTCTTCACCGTTAGTGCAGGCTGCGTGGGGAGCTTCCACGCCCCAGAGGCTTTGCAGGATTGGAACCAGGAGATCCTGATCCAGGGATGATTTATTTTAGCTGATTTTCTTTCATTCCATTTTTACAGAAAATATTTTTCTTTTAATGATTCTGTCAGAATCTTTTAATAATCCTATCTCTTTCATAGTTTCTAGAGACAAATAAACTGCTTACACGACACCAAACGGTCAGTGGTCATGGGAAATCAGATTTTTAAAAAAAAAAATTAATTGAAATAATATTGGTAGATTTCATCATATTAGGTTCCAGGACTAGTGAATTCTGACCCCTTTCCCAGACTAGGAATACTGATGGTGTTGAACAGGGACTATTATGAAGTAGCTGAGATCACAAAATAAAGCTTTTCTTTTGCTGTCTTACTCCTACTGAATGCCTCAAACCAGGAGCTCTTGTGGTGATTACTTCAGTCAAGAGGCTGTTTTGCACACAGGGTAAAGAAGGTGCTTTCATTTATAAGGACCTTAACTTGTGTACATATGTATCACCTTGGATGTATCAGTTGGACTGGTTTGTTCAGTAATTTGCGGTAAAAATATCTAGTCACCTTTGTTCTCCATCTACCAAAATCCTCTGTCTACACTCTTCTCCAGCTCTTCCATTGCAGTCTGCAGCTGGCAGTTACAAGATTTGGACTGGTCTTAGAAACTGCTCACCAAAAGCTAACCTTAAACACATATCGTGAACAGTCTCATGTGTGCACTGATAACTGCTTTGTCATACAAAGTTCCTCACAGAAGTTCTGTCTCCTTGTCTAGGAAGCACTGCAGAAAATTCGTCAGAAGAACACAATGAGACGTGAAGTGACTGTCGAGTTGAGTAGCCAGGGATTCTGGAAAACAGGGATACGCTCTGATGTCTGCCAGGTGACTAATCCACAGAGATGTCTGATGTATTTTCTTTCTTGATAGCTGCCATTTACCTCTTGCAAGGGCTTGCTGTGATTCTCGGCAAGTGGAAATGAATACCTTTGCCTCAATAAGACCTGTTGATTTAGGGAACTATTCTAATGTCCTGTGCACCCCCTCCGCACACACACACAAAAAGTTATTTTAAATTTTTAACTTTCTTGCCACTGGTTGATTAGCACAAGGGAGAGGGGTTAGAAATGGCCAGCTGGAGGTTAGGCAAATGTTGAGTCTGGTGTGAAACTCCAAGGGCTTCTTCATCCATCAGTTGGGCTGTTTATAGATATTTTTATTTTAATTTTTAAATATTTTTAAAAAAAACAATTTTACACTGAAGCATGAAAATATATATTTTTTTTCTTGAAAGAAAAGAAAGAAGAAAAAAAAAACCACCACAACTAACTTCTGGATTAAAACAGGTGACCCTCAGTAGGAGGATATCTTTCAGATACTCTGTTTCATTTGCGTAACATCTCCAAGGTACAGATCTCATTCTGAAGGACTTGACAGTCACCAGCTTTGCGATGTGATTAAAAAAATGCGATTTTTATATAACATTGTATTTATAAAATTCAATAGTTATAACAGCCAAATAAATATACTATAGGTATACTTGCATATTTTTTTAGCTGTTGTTTTGGAGATCTTATTTAAGAATTAAATGCTTAAATTATAAATATTAAATGCAGTGCTTAATTAAATTTAATATTAAGTCAACAGTATGAATTATATAACTTTGGGGGTTGCTAGGCAGAGGTATAGGTAGAAATCCCATTGTTATCTTAGAAATCTGCTAAGGCCAAAGGGGAAATTCTAACAGGAGAGAAATGCTAATAACTGAAATTGCTTTTCTTCTGTCTGAAGCCTTTCTTGTGATTCTACTATTGCTTCTGAAGTCGAAGTAAGAGAATAGTGCAATAGTAACTTCTCACATAGCTGAGGAAAATTGCAGCTTTTTCCTAATTTTTTGTTGTGAACTGTATCTGTTTTTACAGGCTAAGTAAACAGTATAAATTTCTAATTTAGTCTGTGTTATTCATAATACCTTCTGTGATTAATCTCTTAATGTCTTCTTGGATATTGCTCTTTCATTTTGCTGTTGAAGGACAGCAAAACACCAAAGAATGATGAAAGTAAAGCTATTTCACGTTTTTGTGCCCATCTGCAGCTGTAACATCTAAATCAGCCAGTTCTGGTATGAAGGTCTTTTGATTTGATTTCTTTGAGAGGCCAAGAGTAGGCAAACTATGTCTGTAAAATGAAAGATTACTGCTGTTGCTACATGCTTTTTCCGAGATTAAAGAAGACTAAAGCTAAATACACATAAATCAACTCTGTGAGCAGAGCTAAAGTGCACTGATTTAAAATTAATGCTTTTAAAAGCATTGCCGTTTAGAAGATTGAAATTCTTTTAAGTAACTCTGATAGCTTATGGTTGCTGTAAGTTCCATGTAGCAGTAGTCACACTGGGCTTTGCAGTGTCAGAAACGAACCACGTGGAAGGGGAGGAAAAAGGATGAGTTGAAATATTCCAGAAATGAAAAATGTCTATGTTCTGCCCAGCTCACTTGAAGTTACCCAGTAGATGAAGTGCATTACTTGGCCACTAAGCTGGGCAGCATTTGCTACTCAGTCTGGCAGGATGGGGCTATGCTCAGAAGATACCACACCCCGCCCCACACCCCCATCATTGCCTGGATTGTTGCTGGTGTGACCTCAGCAGCTCTGTTAAGTGTTCAGGGTGAGGAGAGAAACGATGCATCACAAAATATTTCAGCTCACCAGGGTTTTCTTAGTGTCTTCAGGTCAGGAGCATTTGTCAGCCTGGGGGATGGTGGCAGTAGCTGGGAGCATCTGAGAGAGCCACTGCCTTGCCATGGTAGCTGCAGCAAGAAAAGAACATGTAGCATAGTTTAAATAATATATTTAAAAAAAAAAAACAAACCCAGAAGTTAATCATGTTTATAACCAGATGCAAGTACCAAGGTTATGGGATAACTCCTATAGCTGTATGGTTTCAGGAGACTTTTTTTAATCTCTAGTCATTCTTTAGCCTTATGCAATTTTTAAAGCAGATATTTTATTTTATATAAAGAGACAAATAAATAAAACATCAGAAACATCAAATAGGTATCATCCAATATAATGCATGTTAATTGAATCAATCAAGTGTTTAGTGCCATGAAAGCAGCACTTTCAATATAACTGCAAGAGTCAAATAAAAGACTTTCTATGTGCTCCCAGGGAGATGTCAATTCCTTGTTCACTGCACCACAGCTGATAAAAATCTAAAATTTTATATTTCAGTCCTCAAACTTTGGGCCACGTGTATTGGTTCCTAAGTATAAAGAACATTAAATCTTGCCTGCTAAAACTTTCTGCCAAGTGGTCTGTGCAGTGGGGACTGTACAAGCAGGGGAGCAGAGTTGGCCTATGAAGAAAGTTTGGGTGTTTTTTTTTTTTTCTTGTAATTAATTCCTTTCATGAAGGAAGCCATAGGAAGTGCACCTGTACAGTTCATATGGAGGTAAGAGGAGTGTTCCCTTAGCTTGGAAATTATACAAAGAAAATTCAAAATGAGTGACATGGGAACAAAATAAAATTTCACTTAAACTTACTCAGTTTGCTTGGACTGGTTTTTCAATTTTCTGCCATTCATAGAACCACAGAGTCTTTTTCTTGCTGTTAAGTAATTGCTTCCATGATTACCTTCTAGCCCTGTGTTCAGCTTTCCAGAATTTCAGTCCTTTACTTAAACAAAGTATCGCCATTGGTTATTCTTAACTTCTCAATCTTGTAACATTCACCAATTTGTATTTTCTGCTGTTCTTTCCTTAATTATATGCAGAAATACATAAAATCATTCATTCTGTAAATTAGACATCATCTGCTTTATATGCTTGTTTCTCATGCATCTCTCCGCACTACCATTCTGATAAGCTGTGCTACTCGCTTATTTCAACCCGGATCCATCCAAAGTCATTAGTATTAGTGTAGAATTCCTGCTTTAAAGCACTGAGAGTGAGACTTTCACTGCTGCAACATACAGTTAGTTAAATTTTTATTGAAAATTTCCTCAACAGGAAAACATCATCTGCTTCCTGGATGATCAAACAGCACCCTTTCTGATATTTTTTTAGCACGTTAAGCCAGGAAATGCCAGACTACAGCATTTCAAAAAGCCCTTAATTCTTCCTCAGAAGGAAATGAAGCAAGGCACTAACAACTGTGCTTGAAAAATCAAGTAGCTCCTGTTGTTTGGTGAAAGCTGGCTAATGTGGTATTAAGTGCTTCTTCCCTAACGTTATGAGGCAGAGGGAAATGATCTTTCTTTGTCTTTGGTACCAACCTAAAAGTGCAGGGTGTTAAATGAGAAGGTACAAACACATACCATCGTAGTCAGTTGTAGCTTACTGAAGCTTGATGTTACTGGTGACCAGACAATTTTTTCCCTCATTCAAAATTAACTAGAAGACTGGTTTTCTGTATTTATTTATTTATTTATTTATTCTGAGTGGGGCTGTGTCCCAGTGGGATTATGCAGATGGACAAATCTGATTTAATTAAGTGCCCTGCTGGTGAGGGTTGGGAAACCATTCTTTTTTTTTTTTTTTTTCCTCTTTTAAACCAAAACAGTAAAAGTCAATGTTGTGACAAATGGGAAGTGTTGTTGGATTTATAGCTTAGTCAACTTCTTTCAACTGAAGTTGAATATTTTTCCTTATTGCAATTGTTTTTTAGCATGCAATGATGCTTCCTGTCCTGACCCACCACGTCCGCTACCATCAGTGTCTGATGCATTTGGACAAATTGATAGGCTACACTTTCCGAGACAGGTGCTTGCTGCAGGTAAGACGTGCAAAAAATAAACTACTTGCTCGTTTGTCTTCCTAATATTATTGAGTTTATCCATAATCCTACCTGCTGTGCAAATTTGAGAAATGCACTGCATTGCCACAGCTTGAAATTGCTTGATTACTTGCAATGCAGATCTTTCAAAAGTTTCAGTTATCTAAGAGAATTCTAAATAGAGACATCTATTGTGCACGTAGGCATATACCTCCCTTTGCTCCAGTGGTGGGCCTGAATTTGCTTGTAGTGTGTAGAAAGACAAAAATATGATTACTGAAAAGTCTGTCAGGTACATTACTCGTTATTTTCTTACAAGTTCTTTTTTTAGGTATTTATGAACTATATGATGTTATTCTGCAGATAAGCATACATGCCTTGATTCTTCCTTTTATAGTCTGTTGTTGCCTTTTTATTTTGCATTTCTGGCAAGTGCAAAGGAATTTCCAAACTTCTGTTCAGCTCTTGATTACTATATGATGAAACTTTTGTATTTACAAACAAAGGCAGGAACTGGAGAGGAGAATTTCTTACTGTATTTAAATACATCTGTATGGCATGAAAAGTCATTTAAGTGCATATTTGGAACTGATGAGCTCCAGAAGGCTGACTCTTGGTATAATGGTGCCTTTCCCCTTATGTTTCTTCTGAAGGTATCGAAGGGAAATAGAGACTTCTGTGTAGGATCTCCCCCTGAAATAAGCAGCTCCTCTCTGCACTGACTGGAGCTGAGAAAGATGTATTTTCTCTAAGTCCCAAAAAATGCAGTTTCTGTCTATGTATGGAGACTTTAATCCCAAACTACTTTAAGCAGTGGCTTGCAGAGAAATCTTTTCCTGTAGCTTCTCAGTTTTCTAGAAGTTGGTGTCCAGGGCTGGTCCTACTGAAGGTTACAGTAAACATTGAGCATCTTGTGGGATTTGGTTGTTTGCAGGCTACCTTTTTATTTTTATCTTTCATGTTAAAACTGTGATGGAAATCTTCAAAGCGTTAAGACCAAACACACAAACCAAAAAGCAAATTTCACGTGAAAAGGGGAGAAAGGATAAAATCAAGTGTCAACATTAGTCAAATTAATGTTTGGTTATAACAAAAGTACTTTTTAATGCTTGATCCCTATGCATATTTGTTTAAAACCCACAAACTTGTCCCAGAAGAGGAGCTTTTAAAAATATATATAGCAACAGTCACCTAGGCATAGGCAATTTTAGATATGTAATTTTGCATTGTTTTTTACCTGTTTCATGATGATGTATTCTTTTTCAAGCACAGGCTGGGCAAGAAAGGTTATTCTAATTTAACTATTCAGAGAAATTGTAATGTGTCATCAAGTTCAGATGGCACAGAAGCTGAGTGTGGGCAATTATGACAAACTTAATATTAGTGAGGAACTAAAAAGGACTTGGAGAAAGTTCTTAAATTGTTGATTAAATATAATTGTATGCTCTAAAATAACAAAACTAAACTTCTCTAAGTCTTGTGTTAGGAAAGGCACAGCCAGTGTTTCAGTGAACTACTGGAATGAATGTCTTTGCTCACAGCCTGCAGCACCCAGTCCTGCAAGTGTTTCAGAAGTAACTTTCTGCAGCCTGACTTTGCCAATGTATCTCTTGTCTTATATATAAGGTGTGTGTTGACATAAATTTATACATGCAATATTATACATTCAATATATTTTAGGTGTGTATGTATAAAGCAAGAGAAGATGCATGAGTTTGCAGGATGGAGTCATAAAAGCTAGGTGTAGCTCTATTTTCTGCTGCCACTTTTGTAGTGGCAGTGTCGGCAGCAGAGAGTAAGCTTTTAATAATGCTAGGTGCATGTAAAATGTAAAAAAATAAAAAACGTAAAGCAGAAGACTAATCCTGCCATTGCTGGTCACTTCCAATTGAAGACTGGCCCTGAATAGCCGTAAGAGAAAGAGTTCTTCTGTGAATAACTGTGCCAGAGATAACACACTTATGTTCAGCTTTTTTGATAGGAAAGTCATACAGATATTTAAATAACCAAATAGACGAATGGTTGAGAAGCTCTTCTAGTTGATCATATTTTTAATATGAATATTTATGCTGCAATGTGAGAATGAGTATATGTTTAAATAAGCAAATGTACTGAAATCAGGTCAGCAAAGCTGGTAAGCAAAACTGTTAGGGCAAATTGACAGTTCATGCTTTTTTCTCTTCTAAACTAATTTTTCTTTAAAGAAAAAAAAAACTATTGAAAGTTAATTAGTTAAACTGATGATTGAGCATAAATGTTGCTTCTTTCTGACATCTGAAATAGTACATCCTACATTTAAATTGCTGGAACCAAGCGACTAATTGACGACATCACTTTGTAGCCTTTCTTCAAACTGAAAAATAACAATTATCAGCTACAAGTGTAAGATATTTTTTTTCTTACATTTGCAAAAATACAACTAAAACTTTTTTTTCTTGTATGTGCTACTTTATAGCTTGCCATGACTCATCCAAGCCATCACTTAAACTTTGGAATGAATCCGGATCATGCCAGAAATTCCTTATCCAACTGTGGGATTCGACAGCCAAAGTATGGAGACAGAAAAGTTCACCATATGCACATGAGAAAAAAAGGTATGCTGGTACACCACTACTATTTTTCTCTCACCTCACACTTAATCAGTAAAAAAAAACATTATTATTTTGTTGGCCATTGTTCTTCTGAGAGATCCGTTCAGTGGATTTCAGTGGTTATACACAGACACCAGTGAGATCTTTCTAAAAGACTGGGTTTTGCAAATTAGTTAACAAGAGTTGAGAAAAAGCAAGGATAATAAATGGGAGGGTGTATTTTGTTTGATTTTTGGCAAGTATTTTTTTTCAGTTTGCTTCTCAGCACGGTGAGCAAACTGGAGGAAATTTTGTAAAAATGTGTTGTTAATGGGAAATGTGATCTGTCTGCTGCAGAATATTCCTTACCCCTTCAAAGTATATTCAGTAGTAATGATGTAAATTGTTTATTGTTTATGTAATGCTTGGATTGTCTTTTTCATGCAAAGATGATAGTTTTTTTGGCTCTCTGAATGCTAAAATACAATAGTATTGTAATGGGATCATGGTCAGTTAGACAGAGAGCATCTGAAAGGATTATAGTTGCTGTAAGTAGATCTTGTAAATAACAGGATGATCTTGTGTATAGCAATTACAAAATAACATTTTGAGTAATTATTTTCTAATCCTATTCAAATTGAGTTAGTAATTGTTTATTTACTAGTACTTTGTTTATATTCCTAGGGATAAACACCCTGATAAATATTATGTCACGTTTGGGACAGGATGATCCAGCTCCTTCAAGGTAATGAAAATAATTGTTTGCAAGTAGGGAAACTGTTGCAGAGAGAGATGTTTTCTTGAAACAACCAACTTAACATCAGCAACAGCTTTGGCAAATAGTTGAAATGAAAAGTCATTTTGAATTGACTTCTTTATTGTGAAGATGTGCTGAACCTCTGTTAGCAGTGACATAGTAAATGTGTGGTCGTGCCTGCAGAAAACTCTCGAGGAAGATATTAACAGATAATCCTATCATTTTTGTTTATCCTTGCAATGAGGAGGACTAGAAGGCTGCCTTTTTGCTTTCTGAAGAATGAAAAATAAGATTTGTTGTTACCGTTATCATTGCTATAAATTGGATTCTCCATCACATTTCCTCACAGCAGTGGTAGGCATGGCACCTTGTTAACATTTGTGATACCGAACGTGGGCTTCGCTGATTTACTGGTCCAATTTAAAGACATATGCAAAAACAGCTGAGGACAAAAAGCTGAACCATTAGTGCTGTAGTGTAATAGTCTGCAAATGACCACTATGAATTTTGTGCAAATAAATACTGTCTAAGATGTGGTTCATAGCAATAGGCACCATATTTAGCTAACGTGAATTAACGAAGTTCATAAGGCTAATGCAAGAAGCAGTTCTATGTGAAATCCCCTAAATGCGTGAAGCAGAAGGCAGAGTGGTTTTCAGTTAACTAGTGCTTTAACTGGGTCTTTTAAGGCTCATCATTTTGGAGGAATAGGAGAAGTTGAATTCCAAATAAATCAGTGTTGCAGCATTCCCCAAACGCAGTTTGAGCTAGACCATGGCCCTGCCTTTGACAGTCCGCCTCAAGCTGTCCCGGTGCGGGGTGGCGCAGGCCCCGCTCCCCGCTCGCTGCGGGAGGCCCTTGCAGACACTCGTTGCTGTGGCAACCGGGGTCAGCTGACTGGTCATGTGCACCCGTGGGGAGGGGTGGGCAGGTCAGGTGACCCAAACTGACCAATGGGGTCTGCCCGCCGGCTGCCATGGGCGGCATGGGAGCTGAGGGGTCAGGGGGGTCGGGTTGGCTCCTCTTTGAGGGAGGGCTCCTTTTCCCAGACCTCTTCTTCTTTGTGTCGGCTTCAATGACTGACATCTAAGGAGGACCCTGTCAGTTTGTCTACCTTTGATCCCAATTTGTGGGTTCCTGAAGGGAGATCTGGAATCCAGTTCCCACTCACTGAGTCCAGTCTGGAACTTTCCCAGTGCCTGCCAGTGACATCTCCCTGGGAGCTTGATATAGAATCATAGAATCGTCTAGGTTGGAAGAGACCCTTGGGATCATCGAGTCCAACCATCTACCCTACTCTACAAAGTCCTCCCCTACACCATGTCCCTTAGCACTGCATCTAAACGGCCCTTAAACACAGCCAGGGATGGTGACTCCACCACATCCCTGGGCAGCCTGTTCCAATGCCCTATCACTCTTTCGGTGAAAAATTCTTTCCTAATGTTCAATCTAAACCTACCCTGTTGGAGTTTGAAGCCATTCCCTCTCGTTCTGTCACTAATTACCTGCGAGAAGAGACCAGCACCAACCTCTCTACAGTGTCCTTTCACGTAGTTGTAGAGAGTGATGAGGTCTCCCCTAAGCCTCCTCTTCCTCATACTAAACAGCCCCAACTCCCTCAGCCGCTCCTCATACGATTTGTTTTCCAGCCCCCTCACATGGGGGCTTTTATATGTATTTATATATACTGTATTTATCTAATTATTTCATTTTTATTTTATTCTTAATATTTTGTTGAAGTAGCTCATTTTTTTTCTAAACTCATAACTTTCTTTATCTGTTTTTTTCCCCTCTTCAGAGCTAGAGGTGGGGGAAAGTATCTATTGATTCGTTTGGGCCGCATTGGCCAATGGCCACAACACAAGCTTATTTCGGCCGCCTTAAGATAACGTGAGAGAAGGCTAAATTGCATTAATTCTCACAAAATAACACACAAATATAACATCCCACTTCTGAGAGATCTGTGTTTTTCACTGTTTTGCTACACAGAGGAGAGTTGTAGTATTGCTCACCCTTTACTGTTTTACACAGCAGAGGTACTGGAATGCTTTCAGCCCGTGACAGAGGCCTGCTATTTCAGAAATTAGATGAACTCTGTAATTCTTGGGGGAGTGCAAATTACAATAAAAGCTGATTTTGGAGGAAACAAAACTTTCTGCAAAACAAAAGTCAGGAGCAGTGACAGACGAAAAGGAAAACACCGGGAATATAAGGTTCTACTAACTTAACGGCATCTTTGAATGCATCTTCTTATACAGCCATTTTTTCTTTTGAGCTCTAAGGAAGTTACAGAAATTATAGCATAAAGATGCTATAAAACCAAAAGTACTTAATCCCTTGTAGCTCTGCCATGCCACCAAAGCTGTTGTAGAGTCATCACACCCTGCAGGTGTTGATGTTAATTACCTACACTTCCCTAGTTGCATGCACTAGACTGAAGACAGGCAGTTTGTTTCAATCACCTGGTGCCCTCTGATGGACAAAAAAAACCCCCAGCCTCAGTAGGTAGTTGCACATGGGCCAATAGACTTGTTTCCTTTCTCCATTTCTTATGCTCTGACAGTAGCTCAGAATTAAATATATAGAAGTATGAAAATGTATTTCAAAGGTGGTGGTGCGAGTCCTGAGTTTCAAGATTCAGGGGATTGTTACTCTGTTTTGTAAAGAATTGTTACCAGAGAGGGTGGGGGAACCTGCAAGAATGTCTATCATTGCTGATTAGCAATCAGCTCTGATTTGTTCTATTTTAATTGTATTGTGTAAATAACCAGCATGTGTTACTTAGCTAATAATAAACCTTAAAATGCCTTTTTCAGGATTAACCACAATGAACGTTTAGAATTTCTGGGAGATGCAGTGGTGGAGTTCTTAACGAGGTAAATGGGGAATTCTTCAACAGTTCTCACCTTTGTATGTTATTGTTGTACTGTTGGGCTTATTAAGCTTTGCAGTGTCTACTTTATGACTGTGTATGTTTGCAGTCCTGCCTTATATTTAGAGCTGCACGTCTGCACACAGCTCTCTTGAAAATTCCTTCAGTTCTGATGATACAACAAGGAAGATTACAAAATGAAAAGCTAGAGTTTCTGTTTCATGGAGTGCAATTTTAACTAGATTGGGGTTAGAGAGATTATTCAGCTACAGACAAGTTGAACTTTGTACCCTTTTTTTAAAGGATTTTTCTTAGCATGCCATTTTGTTTCCATGGGTTCCTTTTCTCTAGTTGCAAGTGAAAAGCATTTATTGGTAATACGGAATGTGTTCCAGTTCTCAATATTTCCAGTTATTAGGGCTGTAGCTTCCTTAATGTCTGTACGTAAATAAAATAGTTGAGCACACATGTAATTTATTTAGAAGTAATAACAAAAAAACCCCACAGTTCATCAAAAATTGCTGCAGCTTTGGTCTGTTTTGTGTATCCTGAAATCAGTGAACAGTACAGGGATATTATCAGTTACCTCCATTGGATTTTCTTACCTGAGTACCAGAGTCAGGCAGTTTGCACAAAATAAAGATTATAATCCATTTTCAGCTGCTTTGTTCTAAAGCTTCTCTTTAAGCAAGTTTCTTAGGTGAGTATCAGAACCACCCCTGGATCTTCAGCCTCTACTAGCCAGTAGCTACTCAGTATTCAAAGCTATTGGTCTATAAAGGTCTCCGCTGCCCTTAAAACCCATGGCCTTTTCTCTCATACAGCAGTACAAGCTGATAAGATGGAAGACTTGCTGATTAAAGTGTCTTGTATTTTTCATTGTCATTGTTCATCAAGCATCAGTTGACTTTCTGAGCTAACTTTTGTCTCAATTCAGAAAAAACTGAGCTACATTTCTGTTCAATAGAGCATGTAAGCACCTATTTAAGGCTGAATTTTTTTTGTAACTCTTAACTTCAGGTCTCTGCTTTTGTGAATTATGATGCTTGATTAGATTACCTCTAAGTTTTATAGCATTTTTGCCCTTAAGTAATGTTGCATCCATCTGCACTTTTCTCCCTGTGTACTGGGTTAATAAAATATTTTCATAATTAGTGCTATCCACACCCTTATTTGTGGGGTGTTGAAAACCTGGTCTGTATTAACTTCTTTCCTACACGGGTTAGAGTCATATATGAAGACACTCAGCATCTTTTCTCCTTTACTCAGATCTTGGTTGGATCAGTGAATTACTACTTCATTTTATTTCTGTTTTATGAAGTATCTTTTTTGCATGACTACAAATATCATTAAAGGCAGTTGAAAGCCTCTGATTTTTACTCTTTTTTTTTTTTTTTTCCTGTGCTATTAATGACTTTGCAAGTTTGATAAATACAGACTGTTCAGCTCTATTCTTTGGCTCCGTTAGCATCTGTTAAAGTACTGTAAGAAACTTGTAGAAAAAATATCCTGAGTGGTGGTCCAGCCTGAATCAGTAGTAAAGCACTGCATACCTGTGGCATGGCTTTTCTTAATGCTGACAGTTCTCTTGTGCTTTAGTCCTCAGCACCCTCTAGGTGTCAACCTTGCTGAACCCACTGCTCCAGATAGATAGAAACCCTCAGATGAGGGAAATGCCTGTCGTTGAGGGATTGAGAAGTTAGGTGCTGCCCAGTAGAGAAACAGCACTCTTCCTCACTGCTTCCAATGCTAGCCAGTCAAATGTTATTGAGCTTTGTTTTAATGTTTGCTTCTTTACTTCAAGCCAAGTTGCCACATTGGGAGGGAACCTGTATTACCAGCTAGGATCCGAGGGAAAGGCACACGGGGTTAAACTTTAAGCAAATGCTGACAGCATCTGATTTGATTTTTGTTTTGCCAGTGTCCACTTGTACTACCTGTTTCCCACCCTGGAGGAAGGAGGACTGGCTACGTACCGCACTGCCATCGTACAGAACCAACACCTGGCCATGTTGGCTAAGGTACAGTTTTATACGGCTCTGTATTTGACACCCATAGGTAGGATACGTGGGTTGCTTCTTGAGGGATCTGCCTGCTTTGAGTATCAGTGTCTTTACTGTGTTTTGTGTATGGGATTTGGGATACAGGAACTATTTGCAAACAGATTTTAAAGATGAAGTAGGAGTTAGTGTTTTCTCCAAACCCTGCTTTTAGTAAGAGTAATTTTTGCAGGTAGAAGGATAAGATTTTAGGTTACCCATGTTGAATGTGTGTCTATATTTACCTTAAACAGGTAATGAAGTTGTAGAAACGTAGTGGGAAAAAAAAAAAACACAACCAAACAAACTAGTTGCTTATAAAAGGATTTCCTGATGGAATATGTAGGGAGAACATGGCAGCAGGTGCTAGAGAAAGTGGGGAAAAAATCATTTTGTCTGCTCCTTAACCTATGCAGTCCTTTTCAGATTCACTGTGAAGGATAACTGTTAGAAAGGATTCTTGCAAAAGTTGTATTGTCTCATGGGAAATACTGAGGTGCCTCTGAATTTTATTTCATTTAATTCTGTGAATGACAGAGCTTTTTACATTTCTACATGATACTGGTGGGCGGGAATATGATATAGAAAGGTGATTAAGTCTCTGTTCGTAGATAACTTGGTATTCCCTTATTCATACTTGATTATGTTAGCCTTTTTTTATAAAACAGTCTTAGGCTTACTGATGTAATGTATTAAGCTGTGCATGCATGCGCACACACACGTCCATCTGCTGTGTGCTGCTTATAATTTTCAAGTGCTCTTTTAATCTTCTCTGTTCATATTCACGCAATAATTTAAACAAGCATATCCAATCTTGAGATTTTGACAAAAACTGCATGATTTCTAACGTGATCTTTTTGCTCAGTTCTCCAGAGAGGCATAGGGTAGGGAGTGAACACAATCATTTTCCTTCAAAGTGTTCTTTAACGATTTAGATAAGCATGAATTGATTGAAATGTTTCAAATCAGAGTTTTGTTTACAAATATGATACTGAGCTGCCTGACATTTGAATTCATGTTACTATTTTAAAACCTGGATCAAGAAAGCTCATATATTCTTAAAGCCCTGTTCAAGCCCTTACCATTGTACATGAACAATTTTTGAAATTTTTTGTTGCAACATTTTTTAAACTGTATTTATTTATATCAGATACAATGTAAATATTCCATATCTATACATTCCTGATTTCCCAACCTACCTTTTTTCCTCTCATATACCTTATACAGTGCTCCTTGTTTCATCCCATTTAATTATCCACTGCAGTGTCATGCTGTATTCAGTTTGCTTAATAGAATTTTCAACTCCTTAACTTCTCTTGTGCATGTGGAATGTTGTTTTAATTGAGAAGCAACCGATAAATTTCTGTAGCTCCTAAGCAACATTGTAGCAGCAGTTTTAAAAATAATCTGAAATATGTTATGATCAAAAAAAAATGAGAAGCAAAACACATGCAAAAAAACCTGAATCCAAACTTGAAAATGGAGATGAGCCATTGGAGGCTGGGGAGATGCACCAAGACCCAAACAATACTGATAACATGAACAAGTGACAATAATCTGTAAGGAGTTTAAATTCTATATAAAACAATTAATATTCTACTTTTATGTTGGCCGTAATGAGTGCTCCCCGTAATTTATCAAGTGCAGTGGAACATCATAAATGGTAATTCTCTGTCTTCTGGAGCAGTGAATAGGCTCCAATTCATTGAAAATGGAAGACTGCTTTTTTCCAATTGAAATGTGTCTAAACCATGCACCTCAAACAACTTAGTCTCCACTTTTACTTCTTAAATGTACTCCAGGAGGATGAAGTTGAGAGTTAATGACAAATTAGTCACTAGAACCTTATAACCAGTTGGGAAGAACCTATTCTCACACGAACTTTGCAAGATGCACAAATCTCTTATTTAAAAATCTCAATAATGGTTTTGTGTCAAAAAGATGAATATGTAAAGAGAGCCCAGTAGCTCTTGCCTGCATTTCTATAGCAGAATTATCATATATTATACAGGATATCTGACTCACTACCTGAGATTCTGACTGGCAAGCAGAACTGTGATTCAGGCAACAGATGAATATTAATGATGTGCATTTGAAAGGAAAAAGAAAGCTAGGTGGCACTGCAGATTAAAATATCAGTCTTCTGCTTGCACTGCTTTTGTTACTGCCACCTGTTGATGCTCTTTAAGGAAAAAGCCTCTGGATTCTGTCTACCAGAGTTTCCTCACTGTTCTACTTTATCTTCTTGTAGGCAAAATCTTTTTCTTTAGTGTTAACTCCCCTTCCTTTGAATGTCCCTTTGGCATTTCTGAAGCCAAGTCACATGAGGGCAAACTATCAGCAAGAAACACAGCACGTTGCACCATCCAGCTGGTGTCGGGCTATTTTTCTGTCACACCCTCAGCTCTCCTCTTGAACTCATTCCTAAATCTCACTAGTAACGTGTTTTGATCTAGCTTTCCTTGACAATTTGGTTTGATAACTCTTAGCTTTCCCACACTATCACACTCTAGTTGCTTGTCTCTGCTAAACAAATGTGAAGTCTTCTAATTTTAGCCTATGTCTGAACTGAAACCATGGAGAAAAGTTTTAAAGTTCCCTCAAACCCAGTTGCTGCATAGTAATAGCATAATTGAATTCTAGTGACTAGAACTGGTACTCTGATAATTCTAAAGCTATGCTTTTGGCTCTTTCTACTTATTCTGCAGAAGCTGGAACTAGATCGATTCATGCTTTATGCTCATGGTCCAGACCTTTGCAGGGAATCAGATCTCCGCCACGCCATGGCCAACTGCTTTGAAGCCCTGATAGGTAAAGCATGTCCATTTGTGTGTGCAAACAGTTATGTTTCAATATGTCTACGTGCCATGATGACTGTGATGGAGGAGACGTGGGTCTGTGTTAAGTAGAGTTAGTAAGGGTAGGTGATAGTAAAGCTTCTTAAATCTTCTTTGTCTCGTCCCATCTCCTGCACACATGCTGTCTGTATAACGTGATGAGTGTGCCGTATTACAACGAAAATCTCATCTTCTGTATCCTGCCTCCCACACACTGAGATGCACCCATTCATACCATTGTGGCACAGCTCTTCTCTCTGTCACCGTAGAATTCCACCTCCTGTGCACCGCCATGGCCTGCTACCTGCAGTCATCTGTGGGTTGTGGTTCAGTCACCGTGGCCAGGCAGGAAGAGCGCAGGCTCTCTCCTTCCAATAGTACATGTGCAGACTGGAAAAATGTGGAGTCCCACTTCAGCCCTGAATTTTAAACTCTGCAGCTTGCTTTCTGAATGCACCAGCCACTCCCAAAAAAGTCACCAGCCTGCTTCCTCTGTGCCCTACTAACCTTCTTCTGGTGACATGTGACGTTTGCCAAGTAAATATTTTTTGGTCTTTGCATTTTCCTTATAAATAAAAAGCATGGCTGTATGCCCTGGCTGGTGTAAAAAAACTACCAAAACCCTCTAGGTGAGGATGAAGGGGAGTTGTATCAGATTTGCTGTTGGGCACTGAGAGGCTGATTAGTGACTGGCTGTACTAGTTGATAAATTTACGTTGGAGAAGAAGTCAGGACTGCCTGACCAGTTAACAAATATCAAGCAGTAAGGTGGAAATCTAATTCGTTGTATCCATACAAGCCCTAGTTTAAATAACATATTTTTATAAAACGTTACTTGTGTGAATACACAAAGGAAACTAAATCTCACTGATTTGGCTTCATAGTCATCCAAATGTACTGTACATGATAATAGCTATGGGAAGGGTTTAGCCCTGATCCAAGCCTTTACATATTGTACAAGCTCCTAAAGCATTTTGTCCTGCTTTGAAAAACAGATCACGGCTGGCTTTAGATGTCAGCAGTTCTGTGCATTCTGCCTTGGGCCAAATTGCATTTCATCTTATCAAGAAATAAGATTTGTCTTTAACTCTATTGTGCTTTCCATGAGTGCTTTGATCTTTAATTTAAAGATAAAAAACAAACAGAAGAGGAACACTACATATGTATGTATGGCGTTGTTCATGTACTTCAGCTTGTGTAGGATGTAATGATGACTGTTTGGCAAGCACTGATATTTTCTAAGAGAGCAGGCTTGCTGTTTAACCTCCAATACAAAGTTGTTCACAAAGTTAATTGAGCAATAAGGTTTTGTCAGGGCTATAGCTGAAATCTGGGAGCTTGTTAAGGGACTATAAAAGTATAGGTGGGGTCTGGAGCTCCTACTTGAGAACCTTTGTAAAAATCTGGTGCTTCTGCCCTGCAATGGAAATAATAACCAAAAGTATAAGCAGGCTGCCTGGGACCTGTTTGAAATTCTGTGCTCTCATAATGTGCCTCTGGCAAGATAGGCTTATAAACCCCCAAACTGTTCTCCAAAGAGTCCAAAGAAAGGAGTTGACCTAGTGAGGAATTAAAAGGAAAGAGGAGGAGAAAGAAACAGCAAGGCAAACAATGTTCTCCCTGTATGTGGGAACATCGACTCCCTTTCTCTGTGTTCTTCATGTAGCTGCGTATTCCCTTTGCTTTTATACAGTTGTGCTTACAAGAACTAGTTTGAGGTTTTCAGAAGCCCTCCTGTAAAGAGTATCAAAAGACAAAATGTTGATACTGAATTTATAAAGTGCCTGTGCAGATACAGGGTGTATATGGTACACACAAAAAATACAATATGCTAGCACAAGTTTTGCAGAGCTTGTTACTAAGGGGCATGTGGAGAGCTAGCTACTGAAGGCTCTATGTGCAGCTAAAAAAAAAAAGGTACCACAATCTCCAGAAATTTAGAGATGCAGAGGTGCAGTTTCCAGTTCAGGCAATATATTATTGTGATACTGGGGAGATACTGAGGTTGGGGATAGTCCTGACACATTGTTTATATGCAGAATGTAATGTTGAAAGTACAGAATATTTATTAGTATGAAAATTATTTGCTAGCTATTGAAATGTATTTTCTGCCTTTCACTATCTACGTATATGGTGTAGTTAGGTGATTACAGGAAATTACTTGTAGAAATAGATTGCTTCTAGCCTAATTTGTTTAAACCTTGCTCTTTGGATGCATCATTTCCTACCACTGATTTAGCTATTTCAGGTTTTTATGTGCGTTTTATGACCATTGATTTATATTGGTGCTTAACCTGCTTTAAATTTCTCAAAAAAATAGGTATTACTACAGAAAGCACACTTTTAAAAAATAAATGCATTGGAGGTGGAGAAGGCAGAGATCTTTGACTCTCCTGTGCTTAGTAATTTTGTAAGTACTAATGCATTATTGACCTTTGACTATTTGGTCCCTTCATGCAGGAGCCGTTTATCTGGAGGGGAGCCTAGAGGAAGCAAAACAACTATTTGGACGTTTACTCTTCAATGACAAGGTATTTATTGAAAATAACTATATAAAAGATATTCTTTCTTGTCTATTGCTTTACTTGAGGATCACAAATGAACGGGGATACAGCTGTTGTACTTATTTCTTGGAAACTAAACGTAGCATAGTGTGTTCAGAACAGCAAGCTGCACTGGTTCAGACAAAAAAATTATGATATTTCTTTAGGTGTGCTGTTTTTAGGTTGGCTTAGGTAGGGAAGGGCAGGTGGCATGGGACACCTGCAGACTTCCATGCCAAGTGCTGCTCTAAGGGGTGCTGTGGATCCAGGCGGCATGCTGTGGGGATGTGATGCATATGTAGATTGACTGTTGCTGTTTCATCAGTTAAATCCTCCCACTCCTAAAATTTTTAAACCTATCTTTCAAAAAAAACTTCATCCAGTGTTTACCCAATTGCATAATTCAAGTCTGATCTATTCTTGCGTACTGTATCTTAGATCGATATTAGTTGGAATTTGTCTCATATAAGGGCTGAGGAAAGTAAGCAGTACATACTGCCAGGACAATACACGTGGCAGTGGTGAGGGGATGAATTATACATTATTTTCCTTCTTGAAAGTCTCTGAGTCTGTGAAATGACAAAGCTTATTAGAAATAAAAGTATTTTGAAGCCTATTGTAACTCAGTGTTTATTTGCTGCTCAGTGCCTGTAGTGAAGGAAGCCTATATGAAATAGAAGAAAATAAGTGGGGTTTTTTTTCTCTTTAGTTCTTGCCTTTGGTGAAGTCAAACTTGCTACTGAGGAGTACTTGCAAATAAAGTTAGTCCTGAGGCTTAAACAAATCTTTTTCTTCCTTTAACCACTTTTTATTTGGTTCAAGGATTTTTCCACCTCTTTGACACCAGCTAATTGGGAGAACTACAGGCAGTTTGAACAGCAAATACACGATTTTAAAAATTAGTTTGCTAGCACTATTGAATTTGCAATAAGCAGAGTCAGCATCTGAAATAGTTCAGTATTTCAAGTAATGACATTTTATTTAGTACTGTGGAATTTGTTAAATGGCTCCCTTGAGCATTAAAGGCATCTCTCAATGTTTGCAGGACCTGCGGGATGTATGGCTTAATTATCCACTACACCCACTCCAAGTAAGTGTATCCCTTTCTGTAATAAATTTCATAGCTCTCTTTTATTTTCAGGGATGCTTTTCCATAGGTTTCCATTGTAATGACGTCTCAGAAATTGTGCTAAAAAGTAGTCAAAGGAGAATGTATATTTGCCTGTGTGTTTGATTTTGGGTTTGGTGTTTTGGTTTTTTTTTAATGAGTGTCTGTCTCTGAGGATTACTCATTCACCTTTCCTTGGCTCGTGTTTGATATATAACTGTGCTATATGATAAATCTAGTGAGAGGTAATATTTTGGCAGCTTCTTGTTCATATTCTTGAAGTTGGGGGGAAAAGGGTACAAAACCAATCTATATACATATTTTGTTAACCTGAAATTGACTGAAACCTTAATAGTAGGAAGGTATGTTAGTTGAATGGAATAAGTGTGATTCTGATTTGTGTGTGTGTGCAATGATAGCATGGTTGTTCCAGAAGCTTTAATACCAAGTAAGCACTAAAATTAGTCTGGAGGCTAATTGATCCTCTATATATTGGAGTTAGTTGTTTGGAGGCTAATTGATCCTCTATATATTGGAGGATACAACTTCACAAGTTGTTAGTTTACAAGGCTGGAAGTTGGGAGAATGGTTTCCCAGTCCTTGTTTCCTGACTGAATTTTGAGAGAGACCTAGAACTACTCACAGAGCCTCTCTGCACTGTAATTCCTTGTCTTCACAGTGAACATGGTAGCATTTTCCAGGTGTGCAGGGGTGCTGCAAGAATAGCTGTATACAAATTTTCATGCAGTCAGTTATTAAGGTTTTCGGGGTCATACGGACATCTGGGAGGTTTCTTTTGTCCAACCAAATCTGATGTTTTGTGCAGTCAGTTTGATTCCTTTGAAACTTTATATAAGCACACCTTTCCAGCAGAAGGTCACTTTGAGGCCTCCATCTGAAATGCCTCATGTATTTGTACCGATTTTGCAAGGGGTACATAGACAAAATCCTAAGCAACAGATCAGTGCGCATGAAGCGTTTTTACGACCAACTCTCTGTGAATGTGGATAGGCAAGAGTCTTAATGGGAAGATAAACTTTTGAGATTTAGCACCAGATATCCTGAATGCTGGCACAAGCTCCCAAGAAAATTCTTCTTACTCTGGATTTCTTTCTTTTCTCTCACTTTATTTTGTTTTAAACTTTTTATCTCTGCTTTCACAAAGAAGACTTGGACTCTGCTTAGAGATTGGAGACAGTTTGTATGCAACTTGTCATTTCTTAGTAGTACACTGACTTCTGTGATGAAAATGTATTCTCTTCCATGTTGCAGAAGCCATCCTAGCTCTCTGCTTGCTAGCAGAGTAAATGCAGGCTGCTCAGGTTGGCTATTGGGCACAGCTAGCCTGAAAAATGGCATTTTAAAAATTAGTAGTCACCATAACATGACAAATGAGATGCCAATTAAAAAAAAGAAAATAAAACCAAAAAACCAAAAGCTCTGAGTAAGTTATACAGAACTGAAGGCCTGTAACCCTGTTATTTGGCAGTAGTCATGTCAGTAGAAATAGTGATGAAAAACTTAATTAGCGGTCACCTGGGTAAATGTGGTCTTTTAAGAAAGCATCAACATGTAAAGACCAGTGCAGCCTCACAAACAAATAGGAGATTTTAGAGGAGACAAAAAAAGCATCTGATAATGCAGATGATAATGTCAGCTGTGTTTCCTAAGAGGCTGTTGGAAAGGCAGTCTGAGAGGCTTTTAAAAATGTGTTCTTTAAAAAAAGAAAGGAAGCAAAAAACCCGAACCAAAACAACCCTAGTGAATACTGCCAGTCTGTACAAGATTTAAAGGAATGGCTGAAACGTAGGAAATGGAGAACAGGAGTGAAATGACCACATCTTAGAAGGGATGGAGATCGCTGGCAGATTTCCCTGGGGATCTTTGCTGAAGTACAGGCTGCTCACATCGACAGCTTAGGGAAGGGGATGAGCAGTGAGGTGGCAGTTTGTTGACAATACCAAGTTATTCAGGGTGGCAGGGGCAACAGAAGGCTGAAGAATCGCTATCTGATTGTGAGAATGCAAGAGTGACTAACTATGGAGTAAAAAAGTATATTCAGTTCTTTGTAGGTAAATATAAAGGACGGTGTGTGAGGAAGAAAAAAGCAATCTCAGCTCCACATGCAAACTGACTGTTATCACCCAACTGTGGCATTTTGGTGCCAGGATATGTAGTTCCATGAAAATGTCAGCTGAAAACTCAGTAGTGTTTAAGGAAAAAGACAACTCGAATGGAATCAATTAATAGAAAAGGGACAGGCAACAAACCAAAAAAGGTCTTAATGCCACTTAAAGAAACTGTGGCTGTCCTTAACTTTTCCTTTAGGCATCCTGATCTGGCTGATTTTTCCTCTAAGGCATTGCTGTACAGAAGAGATGTCCAGAGTGGCTGGAGGAAAGGCTTAAGCCATTTAACAGTGTCACCACATCAAGGACATCAGACAAGAAACTAATAAGAAAAGATACTGACCAAAAGTGATAATTTTAATTTTCTTGTGTTATGCCCTTCTGAATTTCATATACTAGGTATTTATTCTTGATTTTTGATAGTGAAGGAAGGTGGGAGAAATAGACTTGGATTTTGTCTCATCTTGACGTGCTGTCAGTCTGCCATCCTTTTTCTAATAATTTTTGAATCTGTTGCTCAGTTGCAAAGAATGTGATAATATTAGAAAACTCAGACATGTACAATTGTATATGTTATGTGAAAATAAGTAGCCCATGCTATCCACATGTAGATATAAGACCATATAAGCAATGTGTTTTAGATACCTCAACTGTTAAAAAAGCATACATCAGAGCTCGCATCTTTTTTGAGTGGTAATTATCCAAGGAAAAAAGCCAGAGGAAACTGGCTTTTCTCGATTCGCTTGTCCACAGAGTGACTTGTTCGCTGTATTTTTTGCCCTTGGTTTACAGAAGGTTTGCTTTTCTCTGTCAGTTTGTCGTTATTTACACTATATTTTATTTACAGCTGCAGGAATCCAATACTGACAGGCAACTCATTGAGACCTCTCCAGTTCTTCAAAAGCTTACAGAGTTTGAGGAGGCAATTGGAGTCATCTTTACTCATGTCCGGCTTCTAGCACGTGCGTTCACGCTGAGGACAGTAGGCTTTAACCATCTGACTCTGTGAGTACGCAGCAAGAGCTGTGTAGCTCTGTTGGTCCCTTTTAGTGTTCCAGATTGCTTTGTTTGTAAACAAACTCTAGACATTATATCTGTTCTCCAGAAGTGAATGGAGCAGTGACGTTCACAAGGCCACCTGGCTCAGTGTCCTGTCTCTGACAGGAGTCAGTTGGGGATACCTTGGTTAGAGAGCCATCCTGGTGTTTACTCTGAGCTTCCTGCATCACTGATGTTTGCACGTGACTACTGGACAGTAGCAGAACACACTTGGAGGTGCATTTGGGCACAGGAAAGAAGTAAAATCATGTTCTTTGATCCAACTGCAGCCCTTGTGCTCTGTGGTGTGTAGAGCTGCCAGGCCCCATTTATGGCAAACGCTAGAGCCGTACCAGTGATTACCCGGTCGAGGATCTCACATGGGTTTAAACCCTGATCCTTTTATTTCTTGTGAATGGACCGTCCTTCTTCTTTATTGAAGTCATTGCATTCATTAGTTCGCTTTCTTAAAAGAAGCTGCAGATAAAGACTTTATCCCATTACAAACTTGATGTCAACAGCTCTTCTCCTTCAATTAGTCCCAGACTGTGATCTAATAATTGTGTTTATATGTAGCTACTCTGATTTGCTTTCTCCCTAAAAGTTGGTGTTACAACAGTAATGAACTGTGTTTTCATCTCACCTGGTTAATACTGGAAAATTGTCTTAAATGCATTTGGAAATGAGCGAGGCTCGCTTTCAGATTGCTCCTTATTTTAATTTGTGTGTGCATGCTGGTTTTGTTTTTTCCTCCCTGAGTGCTTATTGATTTTGCTGCATTGATGTCTCATTTTTCAGAGGCCACAACCAGAGGATGGAATTCCTGGGTGACTCCATAATGCAGTTGGTAGCCACAGAGTATTTATTCATACATTTCCCCGATCATCACGAAGGGCACTTAACGGTGAGACTGCCATCAATCATGCTGTCTGGGAGAGCCAGAGTGGGATGGAGACTGAAATTATGGGAGCAGCTAGTGAATTATTCTGGATTTGATTAATAAAAGAAGCCTCAGCAACCACTGCTCTTAATAAGACTTTGTTAATTTTAAGTCATGAGCACTGCAATGAATAGGAAATGGTGATTTATGAGCCCAGTGCAATAATTTTTGTTCTGTTTGTGAAATGGATCAATAATTTTAAGTGATGTCAGTGATGAAATTGGGAGATAAGACTAGTTCCTGTTTAAAGATGGGTGTCTTAAACCATTTATTTAAATAGGCACATCACATGACTTTTTTTTATTCATGACTTTTAGTCTTGAACCTGCAACTAGGCAGGGTTTTGTTTCCTGATAAGAAAGTTTTACAATCTATTTTACCCTTGTTTTCCTGTTGTCTTCAGTTGGGAGCTCCTGTGGTAGCTTTTGAATTTAATTTTACTATTGCTATAGTCGTCTGTTGTTGATTGCTGTAGCCTTTCAGCCTCTCTCATCTGGACTATGAACAACCCAGTCTGGGGATCTTTCAGCAATTTACAGTACTTTAAACATGGATTGGTAGTATGTGTAGTTTTCTCCCTGATTGATTCATTTAGTCCTGCAGCTAGACAGCTGTGGCTTTATTTGTGAGGAAGAAATTTTCTTAGGCTTTCTAAATTTTTCTTAATTTTCGAGTCTTGACTAGAATACAAAAGCAATACGTGTATCGGGAATATGAGTCAAGTCTTCTGGTTAAAATTAGGAAGCAGTAGGTTTCTTAGCTACTCAGAGTGGTTTTCTCAAATCAATAACAGAATAGCAGTGCTGAGTCTCTAGCAGGCAACGTGTTTTCAGCAATATGCTTCTTGGGTCTTTGGGGCTAAAGCTGTTTAGGAGAAAAAAGTACATACTCTGAAAGTAATTTAAATTTTCTTCAACACTTTATAAGTTTCATTTACATTCATATGGATTCTTCTGCACCATTCAGGAGACAGAATACGTAAAGCCTGAACTTTTGAAGTAAAAGTTAAAAGGGGAAGAGCCTTGTCATATTAATTCTTCAGAGAAACAAAACCATAAGGCAGAAATCCAAGACTGGTGGTTTTTTTTGCTTCGTAGGTGACTTTTAAGAATGTACTCATCAGTGTTGTTATAGTAAGATAAATCTTTCGAGAACTATTTGGCAGGAAGGATATGAAGTGTTGCTATTAATGGGTGTAAATACTCAGAACAATGATCAAGAGCGTCTCCGTGTTACTTAATTTAATGATTGTAGTCAGTTGGCAAGTAGAACAAGCTGCACAGTCCAAGTTTGCAGGGGAAACAACAAAGTTAGACTGGAATGGATGCTGAAAACACATTAAGATATGGAGAAGGAGGCAATGCCTAGAGTAAAATTTCAACACTAGGGATGAGCGTGCAGTGAAAAAGATAATTGTCTTAGAATGTCTTTTAATCTGAGGACAAATGAAATGCAGTGTGTGAGAAAGGAGACTGATGATGTAGGATCTAAAGAGAAACAGCAAATACTGAGCTCTGTCTCCTGTTATCTGGGAATGTAACAATGTATACAGTAACAATGGAACATCAGCTGCTGTGAAGATTCTGCTTAACTGGCGTTGCAGTGGTTTCCCAGTGTGTAGTGATTGCTTGTGGAGAGGTGTCTGTCAATTAACTATATTTAAGAAAAAGAAAGGCGAACATGATCTTGTCTATGTGTCTGGAGGCAGCCAAGTGATCAGCCAAAAAAGAGGATGAAATTTTGTTGGCTGTTGGAAGATACAGCTTATGCTACAGTCATGGGTAGTAGTAGGCTGTATGAAGATGGAAGAATAAAAAAAAAATGCTTTGTAATTAGAGGTAAGCTCCAGTTGAGCATCCGTCACACGTCATAGCATCTGCAGTGATGCAGGCTGTGTGTTGCCAGAGTTGCTAGCTCTCAAAAAGTTACTGGAAGGGCACAGGTACCACATCTTCCTCATATCTTTAAGGGGCATTGAGTTTCTTGCTAGATTACACTTGTAGAGGAGGCAAATTCTAATATGAAGCAAGTTGATAACCAGAGTGCTAGAAGAATAACTGGGGTTTTTTTTTATCTCAAATTCACTAGGTAGCGTGTATATTGCTCTTTGTTTTATGATACTGTTAATCATGACTACGGGTCCCATCAAAATAAATACTCTACAAACACAGCAAAAGAGATCCTTCTTCTCCCGTTACAAGAAACAGATTTCTGTTACATGATACTGCATTTCTGTCATGTAGGTTGCGTATCGTACTTAGGATTTTGTTGGGGAAAGTATTGTTTATTTATCTTAAGTACATAAAAGGGAAGAATTTTGGAAAGGAACAAGTGGAAGATGAGTTTAAGCAGAGGTTAGGGAGGCAGGTAATAATCCTATCTGCAGCCTGCCTAGTTTATGAAGATCAAGTTGTGAGTATCTGCTTCATACATCATTGCCAAACAAATTATGAACGTACTGTTCTTTATTTATCTGTTGTCAGAGATGAAATATCAAGTGCAGCAAATAAATCTTGATTTTCATAAGCTCAGTTGACATGCTGGAGCCAGGTAGCGTATAACTTGGATCTAATAAGCTGAGCAAATGTGACATGAAAGACAGAGAGAGAAAAAATGTGCATGCAGCTTCTCAACTCTAGATTATATATAAACAGTGGAAAAGAGAGACATTCTTTCTCTCCTTCCCCTATCTCCCATAATATCCTGAACTTCTTAAATTAATACTGTTTCATTTAAAGCCAAAAAGCAAACAGAAAATACAGCTCACCTTAACCAGGGGTTCAGAAAATTGTATGAAACCCTAAATATCAAAAATACTCCTTTTAACTGTATGGGATTGTATCTTTGGCAGAGCTTTGTGCTTATTTAAGCAGTCTGCCTCAAGCCAGGGTTAAGTACTTGAGGGAACTCTGCTGGAGAACCAAATGTTCTGGACTGTGTCATACACTGAAAGTGTTAGAGCCAGATCTTTGTCAGGGGTGCATCAGGGCAGCTGTACAGACTTCAGCAGAGCAAACAGTCCGTACAGGCTATCCAGCTATGCATTTTCTTCTCTGGCCAAATGAACGGAGCAGCTTCCTCGTCTGCTTGTTCTGAAACATTAGACTGTCTTGCATTTGTTTTAATCACTGCCGATTTATTTCTTATTTGGTGAACGGTGGGGACTGCTCTATAGACTCTGGAATATTGTATGTTTATACTTTATGTGGAAAAATGTATATAACTATGTATTAGTTAAACTAGAAAAATGCAGATTAGCTGGAGAAATACAGGACTGATGAACAGATGGTATATGATTGCAAAGAAGCTCACAAACAAGCATTTAAATGCAAGACATCTACAGAAGTAATGTGTCCATAGAATAAATAAAATTTGGTGAGAAGAATTGAAACAGAAGGAAAAATCATCAGTAGAAATAATGAGTGTGTGTGTTTATGTAAATCATTTCAGTTTTGCTGAAACAAAATGTCAGTAAATAAGAGAAGTGAGAGGCTACAAGGATAAAAGTAACTTTTTTTTTTCCCCCCAATTCTCTCTACCTTTTAGATAGCTTCACATTGCTAATTGTTACCATTAAGTGGAACTTCTTTCTATTGCAGCTGTTAAGAAGTTCTTTGGTGAACAACAGGACACAGGCCAAAGTGGCAGAAGAGCTGGGTATGCAAGAATTTGCCATCACTAATGACAAGACAAAAAGACCTGTAGCTCTTCGAACGAAGACTTTGGCTGATCTCTTGGAATGTGAGTTAATTTGGTAATAACAGCTTAGTACTTACACAACTTCTTTTTCCTCAGGGCTTGTTTAAAAAAGCTATTAGAAATCCCCCAATTCACTATTAAAAATGTATGTTCAGGTTTTCAAATTAATTATGCCTATACCTCTGAAAGTCAGATTTTTGAACGCTAGCCTAGAATTTTGAAGTCTGTATGAAAGCACAAAGGAGGTGTAATTGCAGATGGCTTAGAGCTGTAGGCTTAGAAATTGAGGGGTTGTGATGACTGGGTCAAAAGCACATCTAGAAGTCAAAGCTTCTAATCCAAGTTGAGCTATTTAACAGCAGTTTCAATGTTTCATTAATACGTTCTTGTCACTGTTGGAAGACAAAGTAGTTCCTTCAGCAGATGAATATTTCTGTGGATCATTTGACTGCATCAAAATGGTCATTCCACAAGAGGGAAGGCTACATGGAAATTATTTTTAGTCATTTATGGAAGTTTGTGCTACCTTCTTTCCAAAGAAAATGGAAACAGTGATAAATATTCTCCAGAGAAAGTTAATCCATACCTTGTATATTTTGATATATTTTGGGAGACATTCAGACCCCTTGGCTTTTGCCAAATCCTCAAAGTAAATGGAAATAGCACACAAACAAGAGTGATTTATACCTGAAACTTTTTTATGGTACCCAGTAGTGATTTATTTGTAAGTATCCATGGTCTCCTGGTTAAAATGTGGGATTAGGAGCTGAGTGTTTTTTCTAGCTCTTTAAATGACTGTGTGGATTTGGGTAAGTCACTTAATCTCTTGGTCAACTTTATTTTTTTCTTGTGTATGCAGGATATTAACACCCTCATCACATCACGGCTGTGAAACGTAATTGAATATGGCTTTAGAGTACTCAGAGATACTTGTTTCTAAAGGTGCAAGCCATTAACTTTCTTCTTGGATGAGTAACTGCCTTTTTTCTCTTTTTTTTTTTCGCCTCAGCCTTTATTGCTGCCCTGTACATTGATAAAGATTTGGAATATGTTCACACTTTCATGAATGTATGTTTTTTTCCACGTCTAAAGGTAAGATCAATCAGGTTCCTTCTTTTCTGCCACTATGTTTTAACACATTATTGCGTTTGAAACTTTTACCGCAGTCTCTCAATTGTAAAAGCGTATTTGTGAACTTCTTACAGGAGTTTATTTTAAATCAAGATTGGAATGATCCTAAATCTCAGCTTCAACAGTGCTGCTTGACTCTCAGGACGGAAGGAAAAGAGCCAGACATTCCTCTTTACAAGTAAGAACTGGGATCTTATGGCTGATTATCAGCCTCTCTTGCATATGGAAGATGTGATCATTCACCCTATGTTTTTCCATAGTTTGATTTTATTGTAGTTATCCAAGCCCTCCAGTATCTCTTTGTTTGAAATGGAAAATGTTGAACCAATGTTTTCCAAGCTTTAGGTGTTTTAAGCTATTACAAGGAAGAATTAGTAAGTGTTTTACCTTGTACAGTTGCAAGCTGGATGGAATGGATCTCCCTTCTCTATTTCAGTTGTAAAATACCTGCTTCAAAGAGGCAATAATAAAATTAAGATTGTATATTGCATCCATATCTAATGCAATTAATCTAGGAATGGGTTCAATGTTAGCCTCCAAGAGAAGAGATAAAGGCTATGAAAGTTCAAGGCTTGTGTTGTTTGGGTTATTATATCAAAAAGGCATAAAGAATGGAAGTGCAAGGGCATTTGTCACATTTACTGAAGTAAAGTTTTCAATGAAATGTACTGGTTCAGTTATAGTGACAAACAGCGCACTTCAGAAATGTGATCACTTTCACACTGCAACTGATGCTCTGCAAATGTGACTCCTCAGTGTCTCTGTATGAGGGTTCACAGCTTTGTCTTGAGCGAGGGAGATGAATACAAAAGAAACAATTCCTGATTCTTGAAAACCCACTGAGCATCAAGTACCAAATGTTTGTTTTGTTCTGCTGTGATGATAAATTGATTTTTATAGTATAGCTTAGAGCTAGTAATGTGCTGTTATCTTCCTATTATCTTGTTAAATTCCTTTTCTTGGGGTTATCTGTTTCACTGCAGTAAGTACTATTGCTTTTAAATTTGGGGTGGGTTTTATTTGCTCTTGTCACAGCACATGGAGACAGAGTACTATAGTTAGATACTTTAAAAATTGATGTGAAATTGGTGCTTCTTCCCAAAAGAAACGAGGTAGTGGACAGAACTCGAGCTGACAGTGGGGAGAGATTTGGGACAGCAGGAAGAAAGAGCGAAAGAAGCAATTCATTGCATGTCTAGGGAATTATTTTTTTTCCCCTTTAGATGGTTGTTGATGCATGTCCTAGACTTCAGCTAAAATGGAAAGTTGGTTTTGTAAGAAACTGTAACTTTTCAAAGCTGATGGAAAATTTCTTTGTACTGTGATAATTCACAGAAGAGAGCTACCACATCCAATATAAAGCCCTTCTAAAACCTTGCTAACTGCACAACTCTCAGGGACTAAAATTTTAGTGCACACAGTAATCATATTGGTGTGATTATTTGCAGTTGCACAGCTATGCACAATTTATATGACCTTATTGGAAGTGTTTTCACAGTGTTGAAACAGTTTGAGTTACAGTTTGCATTTTTGCTTATGGGTTACATTTTAATTTTCATATGGTCCTCCCAAATGAACTTGGAGTAAATATAACCAATATAAAAAACGTGCATCTTATTTAAAATTCTCCTTTTTATTGTGAACCATACTGGTAATCTCTGGGTTACTGTTATTTGGACAGGCATCTTTCAACCCTTGCTCTCCATGTTTTGCACTAATTCCACTATATGTATTGACCAGACTGCAAGCTTGATGATACCTGGTTTTTAACACTTCCTGCTTGAGTAAATCATACCTTTCTTATTTCAGGACTTTGCAGACAGTGGGACCATCTCATGCCAGGACATACACAGTAGCTGTTTACTTCAAAGGGGAAAGAATAGGATGCGGTAAAGGCCCAAGGTATAGTGAAACATTCATCACATGGTGTTAAAGTTTGAGTGTGGCAGTGGCCAAAATGACTAGCCTTGGAGGTAGACAAGTGTGTGGTTGACCTTAGAAAAGGAAAGCTATAAAGCCTTCTTCAGTAGAGCTATTCAGAGTTTCTGCCTCGGGAATACCTGAAGATTTCAATACCTCTATAGTTTTGGGTCTTAAGCTTCTTTGGTGAGGTTGCCTACAAGGCGGCTGGCAATGCGAGATGGTTTGTGGCTTGCAGACTAGAAACTGCAGAACAGCTTCCAGAGAACAGGGACTTCAATCTTGGGCTTTGCTGGTGGATTACTGTCCAAATTAAGATGGCATGCTAGGGGTGCAAGGCTCTGAGGTTTTTTTTTCTAATGTTATTACTTCTAGACATTTCAGAGATGGTTTCTAAAGTTACAAAGACTTCAACCATGAACTCCAAAGACCTTATATTATTTTCTGCTACCGAATCTGGTGGTGGTTATAAAAATATCATTGGCTTTATAGCATTCACACCTCTGTGGTTTTGTTCCTTGTTTTTTCTCTCAAGTAAAAGCAAATGTTTCGGTGAAGAATGGACTAGAATATTCTTTTAGTGTTATTGATTTAAGTTTAAAAATATTCTACTGGAACTGTAGTGCTATTGTTCACATATTTATGGAAAAGCTGATATATCATACACTCTGGGAATTACTAGCTACTGGTTATCCAAAGAGTTTTATTACAAAAGACTAGCTAATGTTCCACTTTGTCAGAAACTTTAGACTTGGATGTCATGTAACACATTTTTGTTTTGCTTTCACAGTATTCAGCAAGCAGAAATGGGAGCTGCAATGGATGCACTTGAAAAATGTAAGATATTTGGGCAACAAAGAAAATAATTTATAGTTTACATCCTTGGTCTTTGGTGAGGTGAGGTGCAGGTTTTGTGAGGGATAAGATTTGAACGTAACGTATATGCTGAATGCTGTCAGCTTCTCAGCAGCAGATTTTCCTTTTCGTACTTCTAAGATAATTTTGCGGAGGGGAAGTTACTATGATACCAACGGTTATTTTTTTAAAGGAAGTTGATCAGTGACAGAGGTTGGAACTTACAGGGAACCCAGTGCAGTGAAGTCCCATTGAGATTTTCCATGCTTAACTCTGGAGTGGGATAAGACTGCTTACTCTCTGACAGTGTGATTGCCTCATCCTCTAATTTGGGGGAGGAAAATTACTTTTTTCAGTTGTCAATTAAGAAAATAAAATTTGATCTCAGATTATACAGTAGACTAGGTGAAAATGTAGCAGGCAGATCCCCAACCAATGTAAGTCAATGTTTATCTGTTAAGAACAGCTTACCTCAGCTGAGGATCCAGTGATCTGTGTGTGCATGTCTCAGAATTATGCGCAGGACAGCCAGCATGGGAGCGGTCCTTCACTGCAATAGAGCCTCAGATATGAAAGGAATGCATGTATGCAAGCTTCTGATGTGAAAGAACTTTGGACAGTTGAGTTAAAGTGCCAGTTGTGGACGTATTGTAAGCAAATAGATTACATGCATTTTGTGAAGCAGAAGCTCTCTATTCAGAAGATGATGAGGTGGTACGTTATTTTTATTTGATTCAACGGAAGGGCATGCAGTTTCTCAGATGCTAAAGGATTTTAATCTGTTATCTCTGCATCTGGAAATCCCAGGCCTTAAAAATTTCAGAAGACAATGAGCAAGGAGTCCCTATAATTGAGAGGTTTTTTTTATATCCATCTGCTACGCGTATACTTCTCACCACCAGTAAATTTGACAAGTAGTAAAACGTAACTTCCCTTCCCCATTGAGTATCTGCAAAATGTTACTGGGATTTTTTTTGAGTGTTTTTTCTTGTGACAGTATCACCACTCAGAGAGCTGTGAGCTTCATCTCTTACCAGTCTAAGGACTTCACAACTCTTTCCTGACATACATATTTGTTTAAATATCATAGACCTCTAGAGGTCTCTACTCCAACCACTCCTCAAAACAGAGCCAACTTTGAAGTTCGGTTTCTCAGTGCCTTGGCAGTCAAGTTTTGACTGTCTTTAGGGATGGAGGCTCTACAGCCCCTACGGGCATCTGTTCGATTACGTATACATTTGCAGAGTGGACTTTTTGATTGTTTTGGTTTTTTTTGTTAATGCATAAGTAGTTAACCTAAAGGAAAATTGCATTTCATGTACCTCTTCAAATATATATGACAGCCATGATGAGTTTATTACATAAATTTAATTCTCAACATCTTAAATGGATTATAAACAAACAGGTTGCTACCACACTGAGTTCTTCAGAGTTCTTAAAGAATCATATTATAGGCACAGTGCTGAAAATCAGATTTGGATTTTATGGTGCACATGAGCAACAACAGATCCCAGAACTCCATTAAACAAAGCACTAGTGTTTTTAAAAACAGCAGCAATTTAAAAACAATTTGCTTCTGTTTAGATTGCTTTCTGGTTTAAATAAATATACCATACTATGTCAGAGTTGTAAATAACTGATCAATAAACCTTTTATTCTCATAGTATATAATAAAAGGCACAAATTTCACCGGCCAATAAGACAAAGCAGTATAGAAAGTCATTCTGCTCTACCACAGTCTCCTGCAGATTATATGGCTTCTGCACAGTGTTCTCTAGCTGAACAAATCTATGCTGCCTGGGACCCAGATAGAGGAGGAAGACACTTGGTGTCAAGGGACTCCTCCCTGAGGAGCCTCTGCTGAAATTTTCTCTTGGTAGCCAACTAGAGAGAGAGCAGTCCTTTTCTGAGACATCTCCCAGATTTGTTTAATGTCTTTAAAGGTCAGTGTAACAACCTTTTGCATTCGTCTCAGGCACAGATAGGTACCCAGTGTTGATCCCAGGGCTCTGTGTGATCCCAGCAGGATTTATCACCAACCAGAGTCTACCACCTCTTTGTTTTCTGACCAGCTGGAGAGTGCAGGTCTCTGCAGCACAGAGACACAGATGAATGTCAGCACCCTGGTCATGCAGAAAATGTCATATTCTGTCAGCTGTGCACCAAATTGAGAGCAATTCTGATCAATTGTATAAGCTGGTTTTACATCCTCAGTTCTATCTAGTGTACATATGTAACAGCCAATGGACAAATGTCTGAAATCAGAAGCATCCATCGTCCCTGTGGCTATTTCTCCATCACCTCAGCCTTGTCTAGTCTGTTTTAGCCAGTCTTCACTCATCCATGCTCTTAAGACTATACTAAAGCTGTATTCTGGTACTTAGCCAAGCATTAACTTTTTCAGGAACAAATTTTATGCATTCCATTTTGCTACACTTACTTTCCCATTAGGAACCCTGCCATAATGTGGGGCATCTAGTGGATTCTGCATAGTCTAAAATAATAATAATAATAATGGAAATATCTGTACAATGCTTGGAACCAGTGACTAATACTTTTTGGAGTGAGAACAAGACAAAAAGCCCTGACAACATTGACCGTAGTCTCACATTCATTTTTCAGTATCGACCACCTGTTGCTAAGGGAACAGAATGTAAAATCCAGGTAATACCTGGCCATGTTGCTATATCAGGATTTTATATTTTATTTTTGTGAGTGTATTAGATTTGGCAGTGCTTTGTAGCAGGAGAAACAGATGTGGAAATCATAAAGAAACCGAAGTTTTATGACACGGAGCCGTGGTTTACTATGGATTATTAGAAATAAAGGAGTAAAAATGGTAATAGCATTATTCCCTCCTGCTCCTAATCTCATCAAAGTTTTTTTTTTTTCTTTTTTAAATATAAGAGCCAAGGCTTTCCGTGTTACCAGTTTGTTTATTAATGTGAAATATTTCTCCTTGTGTCAGATAACTTTCCCCAGATGGCCCATCAGAAACGGTTCATTGAACGGAAGTACAGACAAGAGTTGAAAGAAATGAGGTGGGAAAGAGAGCACCAAGAGAGAGAGCCAGATGAGACTGAAGAAGCAAGGAAATAAAAGGAGGGCAGAGAAGCGGTGGCATATTTACTTACTTAATAACTCTGACTGTGGCCTATGGAGACCTAACCTAGTTTCTTGCAGATGATGAATGAAGAGTGCCTGTTGATATCAAATAGAAAATCATAATCTCTTCTTTAAAAAGTGTCTGTATATATAGTATTTCGTTTGGTTTTAAGTGTGAAGTTTGTTTGGCTTTTTAATAAGATTTGTTTTTAAATTCTTTTAATTTTTATGAAAAGTTGTGGGATTATTTTTATTATTTTTACTGTCTTGTATGAAGTAATAAAGTATGAATTTCAAAAGCCTGTAGGAGGAAAAGCTGTTTAACAGTTGTCTTCTGTATCCAAATGCTGTTTTGTCAGTGACCAGCAAAGTTACTGCATGAACTTCACTGTGGAGGAGGAAAGTATTATGAGAAACTAATTCAGCAGAGCACTTAAGCATGTACCTACCTTAAGTTTTGCAGTAAAATGTTCCTCTTGATTCTGCTAAACCAGAGCCATAAACTTCAGGTCCTTTTACAGAAGCTAGTACAGTAATTTAAGCAAGGAGGTATTCAGTTTTATTTTAAACAGTGGATTCCACATCTAGAATGTGACACAAGTGTGTGTGGAAGGTCGGGGGGGGAGATTTGTCTTTAAATCAGTATTATAAATCTAAAAAAACAAAAGGTAATTATGAAGCAAAAGAATTGCAACTTTTTTTTTCATAGAGAATGTACTGAGTTTACATTTACAGGTTTAGTTTCATTCTCAACTTCTTTGTCTATCAAACTGATGTCTAATTTAATGTATTTCTTTGTCCAGAAGATACCAGTGTTACCACAATACTCAAGTGGTGTGTTAGAAATTCCACACAGGTGCTATTCCAGATAGGTTCATTGGAAACTGCTTGTATTGGAAGGAGGGCAGAATTTGTCCCCCAAGGTGTAGTTCAAAGGTGGCATACAGTTTTAAGTCTCCCAGTTTCCTTCATTTTTGGTGTCTATGGCTTTTATTAGATAGATGTTTCTTCTATAAAAGCTCTGAATGGTACCAGAAGTGGAACATCCACTGTGCCTGCATTTTCTTCCTGCTTCAGATCCTTTTTGATGAGTTACTTATGCATCTTTTCTGGTGTAAGTAACACAGAGGTACACGGTGAGATACCAAGCAGCTTCATGCGCGGGGGTGCACGTGTCTGGGCCAAGGAATTCCTACAGGCTCCTGAAAGAAAACCTTTTGCCCGTTGGCGACACTGCAGCGAGCAGCGAGTGCAGTGGTTGTGTGGAGCACCTTTCTGCAGGTGTCCATGGAAGCACTCTATTGCAGGTGCCAAAGTAGACACAGGTGTAACTGAAAAGTTCCGACCACCCAAATATCTTCCCAAAGCTTCACTTCTGAGCTTATTAATATGTGTATTTTCATAAGCACGCTTTTGTACACATGCAGTGTGAGATGCTTTTAAATGTGGTGGATTTTTTTTTGTTGGTTTTTTTTTTTTTTAAACTTGACCCCACAGACTACCTCACTTCTTCCAGCTTCTATGATTGCCTTTCTTAATGGATTGATGTTTTAAATCCATTTCAGGGGATGAGAGAGAAAAAAAAAAAGCCAAACACATTCTGTAATTTAGAGACTGATAATAAACTGTTGAAACACAGAGGGGGGGGGATAAAAACAACAAGCTAAAGGCAAAGAGCTGCTCTCTGGTGGATGCTGCTGTTCTTTGATTTCTGAGAAGTGATTGTAACCCTTTATGGCTTCAGTCTGTAAATAAAAAGCTGAAATGCCTCTGAACAGCAGCAGGCTTGAAAAGCAAGAAACAGCAACTCCCCTGCCCTCAAGTCTTTTGTATTTCAATTTCTTTTGTAGAACTGCCCGTCTGCTTCTAGCAGTACGTTGAAGTGGTGCATTGGTAGAGGGTTAAGGGTAATTGTGTACACAATTATTTTATTTTTTCCATAGTCACTGCAACCTGGTTGATGTGTTTAAAAGTAGAAAGTGCAGTGACTTCATTTTCAGGTGTATGGTTGCTTTGCAAATGTGTCTCATCGTATGTGATACCAGCAGTGTACCCCAGGGGAACTGTTAGCTCATAGTTTAATGTTACTTTCATTCTTTTTATACATCATTTCATTTTTCAGCTCTAAGAAGACAGTGAGCTTATTCATAAACATTTGCACAAAAATAGATTGAATTTATCAGATATGCTGTTCGGGGGGAGGAACCCAGAACTGTTCTCTTTTCTTCTTTGACCCAGAAATTGCTTGAAAACAAACTTTTAAAACGATTTCTGCATTCCATTACTGCAGTTAACGAATTTTAGATCTTTCTCAATAAAATGTAGATGATAACCATTTTTTCATGAGTGGGCTATTTCCCCTTTTTTTCACTGTATAAGCGTGGGCTAGGAAGATTGTCTGAAGAAATTTTGTTTTCCTTGTCTCAAGGACAGGAAACAACAGGTAAAGAAATTCATATTTCCTTTATCTATGTCAGAAAGATGGTATCTTTTTATGTAAAAAGACAGCAGCTGTGAATGTTTCTGATAATTTAAGGAGATGCATAGAATGTATAATGTGAGCCCAGTCCTTTATAACACGCACAGAGGAGTGAAAGTTGTTTCTTTAAGTTGCCTTAAAGTTGGGAAAAATGATTACTGAGTTCATGTTAATCGGTGGAACAGCTGTAATCTACAACTGGACAACTTTGGCTGCTCTTTTTGAAATGTGAAGGTGTCTATGACTTATTGATAAAATAAGGTCCTTTTTTGGTTGCTCCAGAGCCTGATATGTTCTGATCCAGAGGTTCTCATGCAAGATCTGTTGACGCGATTCGGGTGCGAGTAATGAATGAAGAACAAGGCTGAGATCTGTGTGGATCCAGCAGATCTTGTGAAAGCTTTTTTTTCTTCTTTTTTTTTTTTCTTTAATGTGTATATGTACGGAGCATTGAATAGAATTGTAGCTCATTTGGATAGGAGTTTTAATTGAATTTACATAAAATTCATCATTGTTGTTTGCAGAGCATAAGTTTGCTTTGTAAGATTTCAGTTTCTGTAAGATTATTTTACAGCGATACTGAGAGAACCTTGGTCTCTAAGACTGTTGTAAACATTGTTGCTAATAAAATTTTCCAGAAAAGACTTCAGGCATAGTTGTTACTTGCTAAAACAATTTGGAAAGATCAAAAGGCAAATCCCGATCATCTGTCTCCCTACTTCAAAGACTCTGATTATACAGGCTACATATTTAAATTAAGTAAGCGATTCACTTGTAAAAAGTTTCTGTTTGGTGGAAGTTTGTGAAGCCCTGTATGTGCTTAGGGAGTTGATCGTCTGCATTGTACTACTGTGCATTGTCTTTGGTGGGGATGGTGTCGCCACAGAAATTTCTGTGACCCATACATCCCACCCTCCTCCTCCCCCCTTCCCTCCACGGGTAATATGTTTGCCATTGAGCATTTGAAACAGTTTTACATAAACGGGGGAATAATAACCAGAAAGCGGTTCCTGGTTTGTTCCTTGAAGGGTCATGAAAACTTGCTGTTGAAGAGTGCTCTGCTGTCTTCTGTTGCCTGCAAGCCAAAATGTTTAGCTCTTGGAATGACTGACAACTTACTGTGAACAGGCTCTGAAAAGAAATGTGACATGTCCCATCGTTGGTTGCTGGTAATTATTCTTGGCCAGTAAGCCATGGTGTGTGGGGACAGACATTCTAGATTCTGCTGTATGTTCTTTCATTCATACTTCAACAAATATGGTGAATAACCAGGAAAGAAGCAGCGAAATAAACAGGTGGCTGTATAATGAACTTCTGTTTACTTATTACACTAAGAAAAAAAAAAAAGATTGCCATAACAATACGGTAGGTGGAGCAGGGAATCAGATCTCTCATCCTTCATGGACACATCTCAATGCCATTTGTTATTGCAGAGCTGCTCATTTACACCATCTACCACTGAAAAATAGATTTAACTTCTTGTATTTTGAAGATACCATTTCTCTTTGTATGAAAATGCGTAGAAGGAGAGATGATTAAAAGGAATTGCAGATCTGGAGGTGTACTGGTCACTTCAAATTATAGACAAGGTAGAGAGTTTTATGGTAGTGAGAATAACCTTTTTTAAATATTTCATAACTCCTTCCCTCATATTCTGGTGTATTTTGTGCTCCCAGTTTGAGTTGCAGGTGGTGTTTTTCTTAGTAAATTGTTGATGTTTATGGACACACTATGTCTATCTGGCAATGAAATGTTTCTCTCTGGATTCCTCTTTCAAAGCATTTTTGTAACTGTAGAAGGAAATAAGGGCCAATGTCTGCACTGGTCTTGTTATGTTTTCTTTTTTTTCTTCTCTTCATGGTAGCCTACCTCATTGCTGCTGCAGTGAGGTGCTCAACTAGAGCAACTCTCGGAAGCTTGCAGAGGAGAAGACCACCGTAGGCTCTTGTGCCTGTGCTTTCTGCTGGTGGGCACACTCTCGACCTGGAAGGCCGTGAGCTGAGGGAGAGGAGCGGCGCTGACAGCGTGCACTGCCTGGTGCCAGCAGGCGGGAAGCAGAGAGTGCAGTCAGAGAGGCTGACCCCGCAGCTGCAGCAGAGTGCCTTGGCCAGAGCAGGTAGGCTGAGTCTGTGAACAAAAATGAAAGGCAGTATCTCCCCTGCTTTTAAATCATAGAGTCATAGAATGGTCCAGGCTGGAAGGGACCGCCGAAGGTCATCTAGTCTGACCCCCCCGCAGTCAGCAGGGACACCCCCAACTAGACCAGGTTGCTCAGGGCCTCGTCGAGCCTCTCCTTGAATAACTCCAGGGAAGGGGCCTCAACCACCTCCCTGGGCAACCTGTTCCAGGGTTCCACCACCCTCACAGTAAAGAACTTTCTCCTAATCTCCAATCTAAATCTGCTCCCCTCCAGCTTAAAGCCATTGCTCCTCGTCCTGTCACTGCAGGCCTTTGTAAACAGGCTCTCCCCAGCCTTACTGTATGACGGCTTCCTGTGGGCCCCCTCAGGTACTGGAAGGCTGCTATAAGGTCTCCCCGGAGCCTTCTCTTCTCCAGGCTGAACAACCCCAGCTCCCTCAGCCTGTCCTCGTAGAAGAAGTGCTCCAACCCCTTGATCATCCTCGTGGCCCTCTTCTGGACCCGCTCCATCAGGTCCATGTCTTTCCTATATTGAGGGCTCCAGACCTGCACACAATACTCCAGGTGAGGTCTTACCAGAGCAGAGTAAAGCGGAAGAATCACCTCTCTGGAGGTGCTAGCAATGCATCTTTTGATGCAGCCCAGGATGTGGTTGGCCTTCTGGGCTGCAAGTGCACACTGCCTGCTCATGTCCAGCTTCTCGTCCACCAGCACCCCCAAGTCCCTTTCCTCAGGGATGCTTTCTAATACCTCACCCCCTAGTCTGTACTGATGGTGAGGATTGTTCCGGCCCAGGTGCAGAACCCTGCACTTGCTCTTGTTGAACCTCATGAGGTTCACCTGGGCCCACCTCTCCAGCCTGTCCAGGTCCTTCTGGATGACATCCCATCCCTCTGGTGTATTGGCAGTACCACACAGCTTGGTATCGTCTGCAAACTTGCTGACAGTGCATTTAATCCCTCTGTCTATATCATTGATAAAAATGTTAAACAGTATCGGTCCCAGCACGGACCCTTGAGGGACACCACTTGTCACTGCTCTCCATCTGGACTTGGAGCCATTGAGTACTATGGTTACTATGAGTACTACTATATTACAAAGTCAGAAGGACTGCTCAAAGACAAAGAAAAGACTGTCTTCGCTGACTCTCCTGGATTTTTTTGTTTGCATGCCTGTTTTTTCAGGTATCCTCAAATGTCCCAGATTCTTTCTGGGGTCCTAAGGTGAGATAGGGTATGTGCTCCAGCCACTCTGATTTCCCCATCCATCAGGGAGCAGGTTTATCTCATAGCCTTCACCTGCTTGCTACAGGTAACAAAGAAGTCTGTGATAGGGCAATGACACCTTATCCAGTGGACGCCCCAGTCTGTGGATTAAATATCTTCTTTTCCTTGAAAGCCTGCTGCATGTCCCATGCCTGAGAGTGTCTTTGAGGGAGAAAAGGAGAACTTGGCCGCAAAGGCCGGGTACTGTCACTCTCATCCTTTTTTCCTGAGGAGTCTTGGGAAACAATGATTGAAAATGTCTGTAAAATTAGGGACTCAACTACAAGAAGCCAGGCCCAAAAAAGTGTGTTGCTTGTACACAAAGCTTTTTAGAAAAAGCAAATAAATAAATAAAAACTTCCACTTACAGCAGACATTTCAAAAGTAATCCATTAGCAAAGGACAGACTTAAGTTGACAAATCGTGAACTTTTACTGGTGGCAAAAGCAGCTCATACATCAGTGGTCCAGAAGTGATGCAGCAGTGATGGGTGAGTGTTTGTCACTGGAGGTAGCTTGTTACTTTATTTAAAGATGGGGATGGTGGTCATGGGAACCCATGGGACCCCACTGATGCAAGCTGAGCCAACATTTCTATAAAAAAATAAAATAAAATTACTTCCCTGCAGATTTCCCCCTGTCATTACTTCAGCCATTTACTGTGTCAGAACAGCTCTGACATGGTGACCAGTTCTTGCTGCCAACTAGAATTACAATTCAAATGTTGCAGCTCTGTTTCCGGAGGGATACTTGAACTGGCAAACAAAAAGCAACCATCTCCCAATCTAGCAGCACTTCAGTATGCTAATGTTTTTCAATATCCACTTATAAAGTCCTTTTTTTTTTTTTTTTTTTTTAAAGGGCTGCCAACCCTGCAACCTAACAATTTTAAAAAAAAAAAATCCAGTTAAAATTCTCTAAGATAAGAATTTTTAATGACCTCATTGCCTTATTGGACAAGTCATGCAAAATTGTTGCTCTTACCTTCTGTTTTCATGATGATAAACGTTGCCAATATACATGAGAATCTTTTATCTTTGTCATCACTAAGAAAAAATAAATATCATGCCATCCAAAAGGAAAAATAAGAAAAAACCTGTTTTAATCTTTGATGTCTAAAATTTGTAATTCAAACTATTTTCTTCTTGCTTCTTCCAAAAAATGAGCCATATATTTTAAATACGTTTTCCACCTGTCAGAATGTGTCAGGTTTTACAACCAATATCCTGCCTCGGTAGGTGTCTGTACACTAACAATCGATAGCAATCTATGTGTTATTTCTTACTGTCTTGTGAGTCAGGGCTTGACCAGCTATCCAAAATGGTGGAACACTGCCAACCTTATAAACCCTCAAAATTTTCAGAGAACTCAACTCCTTTACCCAGCAGCTGGTTTTCAAGACTTCACATTCCTTTTGCTCTCATTGCTTTCAGTGTGGTTTTTTTTTTTTTCATTTTTTAGAGTTTCAGTATTTCTTTTTTAATGTGGTCCATAGAACTAGTGTCTCCTATTTCAAAGTTCCCTGATCTTTACTTTTGGTTGGCAGATACAGCATCAATTCCTTGCCCGCTGTGGGAAAAGAAAATAAATGACCTTGAACTCTTTGCCCTTGCGAGTCATACTTCAACATTTATATCAGAAATCAACTGCCAACAGCAAGAACAAAAGCCTCACTGTGTACCCATGCAAATAAAATAATCTTTTCAATATAATTTTGGGGGGATTCTGCCAGGGGCATAATAATTCTGGGAGGATTTTAAGAGAGGTTGTGAAGTCTTAAGGCATATAGCGATGTACTTTTTGCAGCTTAAATTATAAATTTATGCAATTGGACTAAGGTTGGCATCTATTCAGCTGGCAGCTTATAAATGGACATGTAAGCAAGGAGAGAGAGGTAAGAAAAGGCAGAACTGTTACCTAAAACGCTAGAAAAAGGTGTATTTCAACACTGACTGCTGAGAAGCAGATAGAAAAATACGTTAACTGCTTTCAAATACATACTGAAAAATATGGGGTTTCATTGTAACATAAATACAATTCTGTGCCATGTGCTTGAGATAATGATGGCCTTAAATAAATTCATTTAGTTGAGTTTTATGTGGGGCCAGAGTGTAAATCTTAAAGATAAGATATAGCAAATCAATACTTTTTATTAGAAGTAGAAGTGAGGTGATAAAACTTTAATATCTTAAGATACAGAGGTGGTAAATAACTAGCAAAGCTGTAATAGGTATCTGGAGT